TTTTAAATTGTGATAACACTGTATTCTCACAATTTAGAAAACTTCAATAAGAATTTCTATTTTGCATGATTGCTGAATTTCATTTGGAGAGTAAGATATGCAATTAAAGCTGAGTATAGTCTGTGATAAATTTTGTCTGTACAGTCGTCAGTCAGTGTTGAGTGCAACGTGTGTCCACATTTTCTCCCAAACTGTTCGTTGACTGTTTTAACCATACAGCAAAAATAATATATCTTTCTTGGAGTAAAAGCAGTTTATTTTCCAAATAAAAATTCTTACAGAGCATCTGACAGTCATGACACATTTCAGTATGTTTCCTAAGCTTAGTTAACAGGAAATGGCACATAGAATTTTAACACCAGATCGCCGTAGAATTTATTTAGCCGAAGTCTCTCATTTAGTGGATGAGAAAACTAAAACTTGAAGACAGGAAGTGACTTGCTTGAGGTTACAGCAATAATTCAAGACAGAGATCAATTTAATGATAGATGGCATCCAGGAAAGAGCATGGTACTTGCTGCATTTTGTGCTCTGTGATAATAGTACCTTTATAGCTTATTTAAATAGTGAAGTTCATAAACTAATAAAAACCCCACCATCACATTAAACTGCTTTAGCAAAGTTCCTGGTTCATTTTAGATACCCAATAAAAGTTAGTTTCTCTGTTTTTTAGGTGTTGTATTGCACTATAATTTTTAAGAGATTCAAAATACATAAAATCATCTGGGTGTAGGGAAAGGAAAATGACGGGAACAAGCATTTATTGAATTCTAGATGCTTTACCCACACATGGTTTAATCCTCACTGCAACCTCAGTGGTAATATTACTATTCTCCCTCATCGACAGACTAGGCTTTAGTCTTCAAGCTCACAAGCAGCAGAGCTGAGCTTCAGTCCATACATATATCATCTCCCCTGTACATATTTAATTACATGTCTTTACTTTAATTCCTTTCATCTCCAAATGTTTGCAGGTTTATCTTGTCCCAGTTTTAATCTCCTGAAAATATGAGAAAATCATATTTACTTAATCATCTCTAGTATGTGAGCTGATTCATCTCATGACTCATAGCTTCCAGCCTTTCACTTTTTCCTGTGGTACAAAAAAGTAAATGGTCTCTTACAGTCTGTTTTTTACATCGCAGAATAACTTCACTAATTCTGCCACCTATCCAAATAGTGAGACCTTCTGATATCCTGGTATTTTTAATGAAAGTGTTCAAGTGCTTACCCAGTTGTATATTATAAACTATTGGGATTAACTAGCATGTTTTATCTAAAAGACTTTTCATCAGGACTTGAATCATTATTTCTCTTATTCCTTCTTATTTGAAACAAAGAATTCTTTTAGTGTACAATTCTGCATATTCAGCTTTTTTGTTAGTTGTTATTCTGCAATTACATTATTTGAGTTTGATTTCTGTATTTTCTTGCTGAATTTATAAACATTTTTATCAATTTTGACAATTAATATTCAGTTCTTCTAACCTTTCTGTTTCTCTCTTGACCTCTTTCTCTTTTTCTTTCCTCTCAACTCTCCTGCCTCTGACTCTCTCTCACTCCCTCTTCCTCCTCTCCCTCTCCATCTCCCTTCCCCTCACTCGACTCTCCCTTCTTCTCTGGCTGAAGACAATTCCCTCACCAGAATTTATCACTTTTGTTAGTCTGTTAGTTCCTTTAGTTAGTTGAGAAAGACACAAAGGCTTGTTTTCCTTGGATATGTAATTTTTCTTTTCTCTGAATTGTACATATTGGCACCTTACTTTTCCCCATTTGCTGTGGTTGGGTGCAGTATTTAAATATTACTTTCCAGTTCTATAGGATGCCGAGACACTTAGAGTTAAATATATCTACTTGCAGATTCAGTCTTTAAGTTCTTTTATTTTGATTTTCCAACCTTTGGTCTTTCTTCATGAAATTTTCACCCCTGATAAAATTGTTTCCTCTGTTATATTCGAACTCTTGATTTTTGGTTGCTCCCATTTTCTACTAATCATCTATCGGGGAAATAAACATATCGGGTCTCTTATTTGGGAGCAGGAAAAGACCTGTCGAGGGATATTTAACATTGAGTATAGTCCTTCCCAACTATTTTGCTATTTTATGAGCTGAAATATCGGAGTCTAGTAATTTGAATGAGTTCTGACTGGATTGGTTGTCCAGAGACCAAACCATTAAATTACCTTCAATTTTGCTGCTTTTTCTCTTTATTAGATATAAATATATACTACTTCTTACAACTTGCTCTTCTCATTCTTCCATTCATTCACTTATTCAACAATTATTTATTGACTACCTACTGTGTGCTCCATGTACATTGTGCTAGGCACTGGGGGGACATAGGAAGAACAAGGTCACTGCCAGTATGGTACTTACGTGGCTCCCGTTTGTGGTTATAATTCACTTCTGATTGACCAGGAAATGAAGTGATTCTGAGTAAGTAGAACCATCATGTGAAACCTGGGGCTTAGACTGTGTGCTGCTTGGCAGGAGCAATGATGTTTTCACTTTCAGTGTCCTCAGTTCCATGTAGGGCGCCCACCAATAGGAGGGTAACAAACATTGCATGCTTCTCAGGCATGGAAATGGAAATTATGGAGTAAATGAGAACAAAAGAGGATTTCAAAAGGAACAGTCAATGACACAAAATCAGAGAAAGTAATCAAACGTGTAGTTATTGAAACATTGTTACAGCTAAGAACATAGCTACTGTCATTCACCTTTTTAGAAGATGCACCCCTAGAAGACATTCTCCATATTTTTCTAGTTGGGGACATCATATAGGCCGTAAGTCATCACTGGAATAAATATAGTGGAAACACAATAGCATGTAATGTAAGTGTGAAAGTTCCCTAAATGCCTTCGAAAGGTAGAAAGACTGGTAAAATCAAGTACGTGTATTATAATAATTTCTTATGAGTTTGAGTCCCTGTTCTGTTCATCAGTGGTGATGGTAATCAAAAGATGAAAAAACAATTAGGGAAAGTCAGAAATATTACAGTGTATCTAGAGAAACACTGGTTGAAACTTAGTAGCTTTGCCCCTAGTTTTTATAAAAATTGACATTAATAGCATGGTCAAATAAAAATAAATAAAATGGAGAAGAAACTTCTGTATTCATCTAGAAGTGTTATCAGTTTTTTCCCATTCTTTTGAGCAATACTACATTTTAAAACACAAATAGAAAAGATTTTTTTTTTTAAGAATTCATACTTGGACTAGTAATAAGAAAAGCAGCCAACCTTTTTTCATTGTTTTTTTTAATAAAGACCAGAAACATCCATTCTTGAGTATTGAACAATTGATTATACTCCCCACTTTTTGCCCTCTACTAAAAACTTGAGGGCTGGGTGTGAATGGTAGTTCTGGGCTGGCTCCTGCGTGGGGGAAGGACGGAGACAGATCTACTTGTGGTCTCATTCTGCATGATGGGCTTCAGACAGGCACTCCAGCTCCTCTGCATCCATTTTTATTACTAGCAGTAGGATTTCTGTTTAATAGCATGCTTAACGAATTCAGTGTCCTGCTATGAAGAAGATGTTAACATATTTTTCATCACTTGTCTAAAAATAACATCAATGTATTGTGTTTCCTATAACTTACCTGGATAAAATATCTTTCACATGTTTTAAATGTTGTCCTGGATGCAACATCTAGACATGGTGAAGCTGATGTAGTTCTTGTGCTGGTTAAGCTAGAAGTAGATCCATAATACACCTGTATGTTGCTTTCCTCTTTGTTTTGGTATATAAAACCTTGCAAATGCGATGAAAATTGGGAAAGACAGTAATGTAATCTGTATAAGGGTGTACACACTGTTTGTTTGTGTCTTTGTGTATCTGTGAACAGCACTTGGATTGCCTGGTTTAATTTTCGCTCCTTGTGGAAGTGAGTGCCTCCAAGACTTAAATGAGTGTTAGGACTATCAGAGTGACAAGAAGTCTAACTAAACTGTATCAGGATCCATTAAGACTATCATGCAGGAAATAACATGAAAGTTTAAAACTAATCCTTTCTCTTGGTACACTTAAACAGTCACTTGGATTATAGTTCTTTTATGCATGAACAATTAACTTAGTAAAAGAGCAAAATAATAGCCAGATAGAAGCCTTTACATTTCTAAATTTTTAGCTGTGATTTTCCACATGCAGTTCACTATAATTTGGGGAAAATCATGAGGCACAGATCTCTTCCATCAGCATGAGCCCAGGGTTTCTCTCTTCAAAACACAGAGTGGAGGGGATTTATAATCTTATTTCCTGCCCACCCCATCTTTGCTTCAGTTAGACCGGTATGGCAGAGAGCTTCCTACTTAGGAACTGAAAAAGTACATGTCAACCGGTAAATTGATTCTATCCAAAACATTTAATTTTTTGCTTCTCCTTCTCCTCCTTTAGAATGCAGTAAGTTAAAAACCTGCATTCTGGGTAAGATGATGTTGGAGCAGGATGCATGTACATACATCCTTGGGAGAAGGCCTATGAATCTTTTTATTTTAAGTTATAGAATTATATTAAAATGGGTTGGACAAGATGTAATTTTGAAAAGTCAGATTGGATTAACTTAGAAAAACTGCAATTTGTTCTTTTCTCTCTACTCTATCCTGACATTATTTCAGCATGTGGATTTTTCAGGACACACCCAGACAGAAGCAGAAGTCTTTGCATTTATAATGAAAGAAGACTCATCAGTGTTCATCATATAATTTCATTCCATTTTCTAAGTCAATTGGACAGATTTTTAATTTACAGTTTGTATTTAATATCACCGATGTCAACAAAAACCAGCCAAATTCTTTAGTTACAGATCAAAATAATGCAAGAACTAAAACAATGACAAAAACAGAAGTAAAGTGAAATAACTTTTAAGGACAAATATTTTGCCCCCATGCAAATACATTAAAAAGAACAAAGCAGTATGAGAAAAAGTTAACTTGACAAAGCTTGTTTATCTGCTTCTGGTATTTCAAGACGCAGCTGATCTTCTATTTTAATTTTTAGTTTCCTGGTTAGTTTTATGGTGGATGCTCGAGGTGGCGCTATGCGAGGATGCAGACACAATGGGCTCCGTATCATTATTCCACCTCGGAAATGTACGGCCCCAACTCGAGTCACCTGCCGCCTGGTCAAACGCCATAGACTGGCAACAATGCCTCCAATGGTGGAAGGAGAAGGCCTGGCCAGTCGCCTGATCGAAGTCGGACCTTCTGGTGCTCAGTTCCTTGGGTAAGGGTTTCTGATAAACCTCCCGCTTAGTCACCGATGAGCTTGTGTCCTCTACATGAAATCCCTAGGATGGAATGAAGAAAGGTACGTCGGTAACGTCGTGAAAGAAGATTGGCCCCTGTGAAATTAGTTAAAAATTGGAAGTAGCACCTCTGTGCTTGACTCCAGTCATATGCTTCTTATTTTAAGGCATGAATGAGTTCAACATTCAGGTGAATTAGGATTCCTTCTCTTTGGGTATGATGATAGCTGCTAGGCTCCCAATGTGAATGATTGTGTTTTAGCCAATGGTAGGTACTTTTTTTTTTTTAATCCTGAGACTCACATGGTAAAGGCATAAAGAAAAAACACTACTCTATTCCAAACCTAAATTTAAAGTCCTGTGTAGTTATGAAACAGAATGATTATCTTTGGAAAGCAGTGTTTTCTTTATAGGATATCCAAAAATTTACTCCATGTGACTTGTCGTTTCTGTTATCAAAATTGCTATCTTGAGTCTTAAAATTACACCGGTAGTCTCTTTAGTTGTAGTTTTTATTAAGACGACAAAACCAAGACTAACTTCTGCCATGCTCATTTTAGCAATTTTGAGCGGAGGTTAGCATTTCTTCCTTCTTCCGCTTGTATGGCTGCTGTTACATATGAAGTGGTGTCTCAATATGCCAAGAAATGACTAGCTGCCGCTGAAAACAGACAAAAGGATGAAGTTTTGAAGGGGGGCAAGTTTCAAAATATTTTGAAACAAATCAATTGTATTTAAGTCTTTTCATATCAAGTGTCTGTGCTCAAAAATTGGGAGGAAGTCCTATTTATCATGTACTCTTTGCTGGTGGTGTTTGGGGGAGAGGATTTGCTTTAGAACTTGGGGAAACGTTCTAAAGCCTTGTAATTTGGAGCAAATGATTAACAGGTTGCTGCAAATTATGTTCGCACCTGAAAAGGGGTGTCTGAAATTCTCCAATTATAGAAGCCGCCTCCCATATCCTCCTAAATGGCCAGAGATTTAGAAGGAGCCCGTGAAGTTCTGGGTTGCGTCAGAAATGCCATTATGGTTGGAATACATTGCCCAATGATCCCTTTCATCTTCTGTACCAGGCCCCTTTCCCTCCTTTATGTTCAGGTAGCTTTAGGCTTTTTAAGAAACTCCACATCTGTTGAGGAATATTCATGAAAACATCTGCCCTCTCTGCAGAGTCAGAGTTTTTATTATATTCCCAACAGCTTTGTCTTTCCTGTGGAGCATATTTTTGTTGTTGTTGTTTATTTTTTTGGCTCATGCCCTGGCAGTGAACGTTAAGTAGGGACAGATCCAACACCTAAGTGTCTCCTTCCACGCGCCTCCATTGTACACTCTGGGTCTCAGTTCCTTGCTCTTTGTGACCAATGGAGGGGGCAGAACCAAACGCAGTGTGAAACCACATTTCACCCTGTTGATCAGCCGGGGTTCTGTGGAAAACAATACCTGAAGCTTACTTATGTTCTTTCTTTCACTGCTGCTTTGGATGTACTCAGTAAACTTCACCTGCCAACGGCCCCTCCCCCACTTAATGAGGGAGAAAGTTTGGTCAGCCGCATCCTTCAGCTGGGGCCTCCTGGAACCAAATTCCTTGGGTAGGAGTGACTTAAAACAAATTGATGGCTGCTGGCCCCCATTCTTCTCCTCCTTCTGCAATATGATTTCTCTTTTTGTCATTGTGCCCATGACATGTCCCTCCCTATGATTTAAATTCTGTATAACCTATCTTTAGTGGACCATTTCTGACCCTTGTGGTATGTGACTTTTTATTTTTGAGTGACGTTTTTTATATCTTTTCCCTTAAAGTGCTGTGACCTTCATTTTCATTTAAAGCATGAGATCTGCCTAGTTGTACTACGTGCTAGTTATTATGATGTTGTTATGATAGATTTGAAGTCTGTATCAAAGCAACCTGGACTGAAAAATCAAAAGCCTCCATAAATTTTGAAAGTGAATGCGACCTGAAATCGTCAGGGCAGTGCATGTTCTGGATCCTGAGTCTAATAGGCATGGGACACAATTGGGCTGTCTGCTGAGGTGCTGCTCAGTTAGGGCACGCTGTGTCCACATGCCTATTATTCCCTTGATTGAAAAAAATATATATGCAAAAAACCATGAGTGCATGTCTCTTTAGTTCCCAAGTAGTTAACTTTTTGACATCTTTTCGTTTACAACACATCCAATTACGCAACATATGAGCCATTTTCCTTCTCAACCCATTTTGTCATTTGCACCTTGTAGAAAATGTTTTAGGAGATTGGCATACATCATGGATATGCATGCACATTTCTTTTGGTTAAATGTGTTATACTTACATTGATCAAAGGAGAAGTTCCAGAATGCCACATGCACTCCCAGGGAAACATTATTTGGCTTAAGGTAGCAGCATGTCCCTTAAGGATTGGTGCCCCCGAGGTGGAGTGCTCCTGTGTGACCATCTGCTAGCCGATGGGCTCTAGAGGACAGCCCGCTATGCCACTGTCCCGGGAAAGAGAACAATTTCCAGGTCACTTTGCAACAGACAGAGTCAAGGTGCTTGTCTTGCTGTTGGTTAGATCTTGTCCACACTGAATGTTCTGCCTTACCGTGTCAGGCCCGTGATCGTGGAGATCCCTCATTTTGCTGCCCTTCGAGGAAAGGAGCGGGAACTGGTGGTCCTACGCAGTGAGAACGGGGACAGCTGGAAAGAGCATTACTGTGAATACACTGAAGATGAGTTGAATGAAATTCTTAATGGCATGGATGAAGGTACTTCGTATTAAGGGTTTTAAAAGAATTCTAAAGTGGAAGCATTAAAATGATCTATTTCTTTTTTATAAGATTTTATTTATTTATTTGAGAGAGAGAATGAGAGAGAGAGAAAGCATGAGATGGTCCGAGGGAGAAGCAGACTCCCTGCTGAGCAGGGAGCCCCATGCGGGACTTGATCCTGGGACTCCAGAATCATGACCTGAGCCGAAGGCAGTCGCTTAACCAACTGAGCCACCCAGGCACCCAAAATGATCTACTGCTTTCTTATGACCTAAGGGTGTGTCTATGTGTGTGGGGCGGGGAGGGGAGGTGGGCTTGGGTATGTGTGGTCCTTGTGTTATTTTACTGCATTAGAGGATAATATGATCTCCTGTTTAAACTTTCTATTAAGGAGATAGGAAAATTAAGTTCACTCAAACATCTACGTATAATTCAAACAAGGCATTAGCTGGGGTAGAATTTTATATACTCTCCTACACATAGAGTTATGGAATTTATTTTTTTCATTGCAGCTTTGATGTCTGTAAATCCCAAATCCAGCTTGGGCCATCTAGCCATAGGTTGAAATATCTCAGTGTGACTGGAGGGAATTGGCTCATCCTCTGGCCTCCTTAGGCTTCATAAAAACGACGTCCCAGTCCTAATACCAGGAGATGGGTTCCACTTTATTTTTTTTTTTAAGATTTTATTTATTTATTTGAGAGAGAGAGAGAGAATGAATAAGCAATGAGAAGGGGCAGAGACAGAGGGAGAAGCAGGCTTCCCGCTGAGCAGGGAGCCCAATGCGGGACTCAATCCCAGGACCCTGGGATCATGACTTGAGCCGAAGGCAGACGCTTGACTGACTGAGCCACCCAGGCACCCCATGGTTCCACTTTAAGTAACTACATAAATAGGGCAAGTTCTTTGCCTAAGTGCCAAGAGCATACCAGATTTTGTACAGAACTGGACACACAGTGGTGTGACTACTTACCATGTTTCCCAAACTTGCAGACTGCTGCCAGAAGCTTCGGGCGTGGCTTGCGGATAGTAAGTGTAGCCGGACAGCAGCGGCTTTAGTATTTCTTTCTGCATCCTGCTGAGGTGGAATAAGAATAGAGGCCAGGTTTACCCTATCCAAGGGGTAGATGGAAAAAGAAATTATGCCCTCTAGATGCATAGGTCAGTATTTTCCAAGCAAGATAAAAAGAACAGGATTCTTCCTGATAAAGCTTGTTCCCTGCAATATTTAGCTGCTTCTGCTTCTTGGAGCCATTTCTTTTGCCTGCACTTAGGTTTAGGATACTTTCCTCTGAGATATTTACCTGTCATTAACACTGCCATAAACACTGGCATCTTGTCCTTGACGAGTTCTGGTATAACTCTCTGTGTATAAAGCCCGTTTTAAAATAAAGAATCAGATTTTTGCATTTTTGTGTTCTCTATGCTTGGAAATGCATTCTTTTGTAAGTATGTTCTAGTGTTTGCCAGTGCATCAGTTTTCAGTTATGCATGATCAGATCCTGGGACTTCTGGCTTTTGCTCTCTAGTTATATTCAATTGTCAAGAAAAATATAGTTGCTGTTCCTGCCTCTAGAATGGATTGCAAATGATTTCCAAAAATAAACAACTTTCCGTGATCCCTGAAAATTCAGTGATCACCTTAGTGCAGATTTTCTGCCTTTTAAGCCAGTCTGATTTTTGTGTTGCCCTGCATATCTACATTAATGCGATTTACAAAGAGCCTCTTATCCTATCTTCCTGATAGTAGATGATATGGTTGGTCAGTTAATGGTTTCAGGGAAATACTCAAACCCTGAATTTATAATCACTGTTTTGTTTTGTTTTTTTAGTATGTGACTCTTTCAGAGACAACCATGTCACTAGAATAAATACACAAAGACAAACCTTACCCTTACAGGACAGATTTTATTCCTGCACTATTGCCCTGAGAACTGAAAGGGCCATATTTCTTCTTAAAACCGCAATAACTGGTTGTTGAGCTAACTTTGGAATTTGTGAAGAAAAGAGGTCCAGAAGCTATTTCCTGTACCTCACGTGAACCAAGAATAGGATAGGTTTGTTTCCATTCCGGGTTTGCCCTCAAAACCCCTCATTTACAAAAGCAGGCTGCCCTGCACTCCTGCTTCTGGAACTGGATGCTTTCCTTTCACAGTGCCCTGGAAAGACCTAGTTTCCACGGAGAAATAAAACGTGCAGACTAAATGCTGATAGGTCTTGAAAGACTGCAATTTTTTTTTTTTTCTGGTGTTGTTAGGATTGGGAGTCTTGCTTTTTAAATTTTCCTACTATTTAAAAAAAAAAAAAGAGTGTTTTTGCTTCCACACTTATTTACTATTAACTCTGCCATGGAGTTTGCTAGAATGCTTTTGGAAGGAAATCTTTGCTGTATGAAGAAGATGGGTCATTTCTTGTCTCAGTGCTGGATAGCCCGGAAGACCTAGAAAAGAAGCGAATCTGCCGCATCATCACCCGCGACTTCCCACAGTACTTTGCAGTGGTGTCTCGCATCAAACAGGACAGCAACCTGATTGGCCCAGAGGGAGGCGTGCTGAGCAGCACTGTGGTGCCCCAGGTGCAGGCCGTCTTTCCAGAGGGGGCGCTAACCAAGAGGATCCGTGTGGGCCTACAGGTATGCCCATGTTGGATACAAGTTAACCTAACATGGATTTTTACTCTAGTGATTCAAAATCAGCTTTTCAGGTGGGAAATACATGGTTAATGTGTCAAATTATCCCCAAGTGAGTAAGAGCTGCCCTTAGAGATTGTAGGTCTCCTAAAGTTTTATATGAGGGCTTAGTACTAAACTTATAATTGCCATATTTGAAGTCACCAAACTGATTTATGAGCTAAAAAGCAATGTATTGAGTAAGAAATTTGACATAAATATAGATATATTGTTTATGTTACTATTTTTTTCTTGAAAAGGCTCAACCTATGCACAGTGAGCTGGTTAAGAAGATTCTAGGCAACAAAGCTACCTTCAGCCCTATAGTCACTTTGGAACCTAGAAGAAGAAAATTCCACAAACCAATTACCATGACCATTCCTGTCCCTAAAGCTTCAAGTGATGTCATGTTGAATGGTTTTGGGGGAGATGCACCAACCTTGAGATTACTATGCAGCATAACAGGTGAGTCCCATATGACTATGTTAGTAGAAAGTTCTGAAAGGAGAAACAGATCATTGTAAATATTAAATTACCTTCGTCATCAGATACCTGTGAGGTTATATGCATTAATTCAGGAAAAGCATCCTACTTAACTAGGCAAGTGAAAGGTGAAAGGAAGTTAATATTTATCAAATACAGCTTGTATACCAAACTATTAGACCCTTTATATGTATTATCATTTCTGTCTTTATAGTGGTCCTATGAGGAAGTGTTAACCCTATTTACTGAAAAGGAAGCCAAGGCTGAGTGAAGTTCTATAACTTGCCTGAAATCATACCATAAATATTTGGCAGAGTTGGAATTCAAACCCAATTTTACATGCCTCAAAACCCAAGTTTCAAGCCTTCATTGAAGACTTTATGAAGTCTTACATGAAAAATAAATAGCATCTTGAATAATTATACCCAGTAGTTCAAACATCTGTCTAGGAATTGGTTTGTCTTTATCATTGATCTGTTGAACTAACTTTGGAAAAACAAAGTAAAGGTTTTTAATGATTAACTGAATTTTGGTCTTTTCAATTAGAAGTTGTAATAGCTTTCAGACAGCTACCATACTTCAGAAAGACATTCCCAGAACGTTGGTTTTTTTCTGCTCAATCATACCACCACAAATGGTGAGAGGAAAAAATCTGCACAAATAACCTGTGTTAGGACTACATCATTGCACTAATAATTTCCCTATTTCACAATAACTACGTGTTGTTGGCATTCAGTAAATATACTGCTGTCAATAGGAATAATCACCATCCCTGGTTGTTTAGGTATTGTTAGAATTTTTTTTCCTTTCTCCTCCATATTGAAAGGAATGTTCACCCTTATTTTGTTCTATAATTCTCCCTTCTTCTTAGTGTTTTTTTCTGATCTTATGATAGCAGACCAGTGACACCTTACCCCATAAATTTAATAATATGACAAAAATTTAAAATACACAGACTACAATGAGTATGAAAGGAAATCTTACACTTCACTTATGATCGCTTTCCCAATTATCCGTTTCTGATTGTTACCAGCATTCCTGGGTGTCATTCCCATACTTTTTTTCCATGGGTATACGATTAACATTTTATAATGTGCAACATAATGGCATGGGAGCAAAAGAAGGAAGACTGAAAAATGTCTGTGGCACACCTGCCCTTATAGATGATCAAATGAAGATACCGCCTGGGCCTAGACGCCATCTAATCTAGTTATTCCAGCCATAGATCTTCTGATAGGTTTGCACTAAACAATTCCTTAAATTTATTTGTTAATTAAAAAAAAAACATGTTAACCAGAGTTTTGGATTTTTGTGTTTTGCTCTGTTATATGGTTCTGCTAAGAATTCCTATTTTAGAGGCCTGCTAGAATAAGTTTCCGTGAACTTTCTTTGATAACTCATTTCCTTCTTTAAGGAATTTTAGAGTCACAATTTTTCCTCCTCTCAAACATATATTCCCCTACAATGCTTTAAGACTGTTTTATCCTTATCTATGCCAACGTAATTTCCCAGGAGAACGAAAGTCACTATCAGCCTCCATGGTGATCTTTCTGTGCAGAGGCCATCCTTCAGTACTCATTCACTCACCTTGCAGTATTACTGAGCTCTTAATATTTTCCAAGCATTTTTTTTTGCCAACCTTGAACTGCAAATTGAGAGGAAATTTTATTTCTTAAAAATATTTCCAGAAAATATGAAGTTCAGGAACAAAAGATTATTTGGATTTTTGTTATTTTAACAAAGTATTCAGCTCCTTGGTTGATCGAAGTAGCTTTTAAAATCATCATCATTTTAAATTTAAAATGATCTTCAAAGCCTAGCAATTACAATAAAAGCTTCAGAGTATCAGTCAGATCTTAACAATAGAGAACAAACTGAGGGTTGCTGGAGGGGAGGTGGGTGGGGGATGGGCTAGGTGCGTGATGGGTATTAAGGAGGGCACTTGTGATGAGCACTGGGTATTGTATGTAAGTGATGAATCACTAAATTCTACACCTGCAACTAATACTACAGTATATGTTAACTATCTAGAATTTAAATAAAGACTTGAAACATAAAAAAAAGAAAGTCAGAGACTAGAACACTTAGTAGGTAATTTGAGGCAGTTATTCAAAGAACCTCCCTTTAAATTAAGTTCCTTGAAAGGTAGTGTCTGCTGTTTGTTTTCAGTGTGTCATTTTTTAGCATGTCGTTTTTAGACATGTTGTTTCCAATATGTCATTCTGAGGGGTGGATGGGATGATATGGGTGAACACAGCCAGAACCACAGAGACTTTATTTTACAATTCAAAGCCTGGAGTTTTGCCTGATTTTTTTAAACAATCATATTATTTCAGGTGGAACCACTCCTGCACAATGGGAAGATATTACAGGAACTACGCCATTAACATTTGTCAATGAATGTGTTTCCTTTACAACCAATGTGTCTGCCAGGTATGGTTATGCAGCCCAGAAAAGCCCACTATGATATTGCCCCTCCCCATTGTCTTTTGTTTTGTTTCTTATGTTCTTTAAAAGTGAATCTTTTTGGTTTGCTTTTACACATCTGCATTTACTTTCATATTTTAAACTGGACTTGCTAGCAAATGTAATAGTGATGAGACAATAAAGGACAACCAGTCAGATTAAAATCTAAGAAAAAGAAGGGATTGTGACCCTGACTCTGGTTTTAGTAGCCATCACTGATTTTTCCAGTCCCAAAGGTCTTAGGAAAGATAAATTTCCTGCTGTCAAAAAATAGCCTGAACTACTATTTCCAACAGAGTAATAAAAACCCAAAGCCCACCATGACTTGCTTAAATGGTTTCAAGGTTTCCGTGACTCTTATGCATTCTAACACATGTGCATATTACCCATCTATTACCCAATTACATATCACACATCTGCTAAAAGCTGAAGCTATCTAGTTTTATGTCATGCACACACTAACTCACTTGATTGCCATTAGTTCCCATTTGCACTGGGATTAATGGATTGCTAAGCATGTCCCATTTAATTTGATTACTACAACAACTGTGTGACTTAAATAGAACAGGAGGTATTGTGGCCATTTTACAGATGAGAAAACTAAAATCGAGAGTGGTTAAAACTTAAGTTTATATTCAAGGGGAAAAGAAAAAGTAGAAATTCATGAATAAGTCAGTAATGGTACGGGGCAGTACCTGGGTGTGGTGTGGCACGTGTTTGTCCTTTCAGCCGCTCAGGCTCAGCTACTGAGTCTCGGGCTCTGTGAGCCACTGCGATCTGCCACTCAGGCATCTACACTCTAATGCAAGACATGGCAAGTTTTGCATGAGAGGTACCCCCAGAGGTATTAAAGAATTCAGCGGAGGGTATTTGCATCGGAATAGAGAGGATTTTTGAGAAGAGGTGACTTAAGAGACATGTAGGAAACTTATAGGCAGAATAAAAGTGGAAGAGAGAGGTAACATGAGCCAAGATGCCAAGAGAGAATGCAGAAGGGTACTGGGGGAGAGCAACAGTGATCCATTTAGTCTGTAATGCAGAAGTAATGCAGGATTGTGCATTGTTTATGGAAAACCTTGTGGGATAGACCGAGAAGTCGGTTTTGTAAGTGTACTTAATACCAATGAATTTTACACTTAAAAATGGTTAAAATAGTAAACTTTGCATATATTTTACTAAAAGCCAATAAAAAAAGTGAGATGGATCAAGAACTTAAAGAAAAGAGAGGCTAAGACAGTAGGGCAATCTCAGGAATGTTGAAAGATTATGGGAAATGAGTCAAGAGAAGGAGGGTGGGTGATCATTGGTGGGGAAAGGTTTCAGAGCCAGAGGATGTGAGCCAACCTTTGAAAATGTATACATAGCAAATTGAAAAAATGTCCATGGTGGCCTCTACTTTCTCAGTGAAGTTATCTTAAGGCCTCAGGTGAGGAGGGAGCTCAAGGAGTGTCATAGAGGTTTAGCGAAGTTACTATACTGAATACCATGATATCTGAGGAAAAAGTTACCAGGCAATGTCACAGACTCAGCTGAGGCTAGAACTCATAAATTGGTCACAAATCCAATGATTTCTTCTAGGGATATATTCAGCAATATTTAGAAGTTCTGGAGCAAAAGCAATTTTTTAAAAATGGTATTATTTCCCCTTGGTGACTAGAGAGGTTGTTGGAAAAGAATGATGAAGAAAACCTGAGTAGATTTTATTGAAAAGAGTTTCAGGAAATGAAACAAAGAGGAGAGGGAATCAAGGAAAATAGAAACTCTCATTCAGTGAGATACTTGTCATAATATCCAATACTGAGCTTACATGCTAGAAGACTCTAAAGCACTTAGATATAGTTCAGAAGACTCAATACTCAGAAGAGTCCCCAAGGAAGAAAATTACAAATACAGCATTTGATAGTTGATCTTAAACACCTAATCTTTCTCTTTTCCCCACATTCCCTTCTCCCTTCCCATCTATCCTTTTATCTTTCCTCCTTTCACTTTCTTCCTCTTTCCTTTAGTTTCTCTCATCTCCTTCTCTCCCTTTTTCCAAGAAACATTTAATGACTATTTTGACCATAGTGAAGGGACTATTGTTTTTAAATTCAACTGGTATACTTTAAATTTCAGATAACTGATCTTATTCCATTTTGTAGGTTCTGGCTGATAGATTGTCGACAAATCCAGGAATCTGTTACCTTTGCATCACAAGTGTATAGAGAAATTATCTGTGTACCGTATATGGCCAAATTTGTTGTGTTTGCCAAATCACACGACCCCATTGAAGCCAGGTTGAGATGTTTCTGCATGACTGATGATAAAGTGGATAAGACCCTAGAACAACAAGAAAACTTTGCTGAGGTGGCCAGAAGCAGGGATGTAGAGGTACTGTTATTTACAAAAATAATTTATGTTAACCTGTTGTTTATACCCTTACTAGTAGATTATATTTAAAATAGTATTTAATAAATAGAGCCATTAAAAAAGAAAAAGAACAGTCCACCTTTTGATCAGTTAGTAGGTCAAGGTCCAAAGTCTGCCGTTTTTGCCAGTTTGGATATAGGGATAGTCTCAGTGTATGTGAGGTGGTAAAAGGACTCTCTTAAAATTATCTTGGGAAAAATTATGAGTTATTGGTAAAGTATGTAAGTGCCTGTAATAGTTTAGGTATCTTTATCTTTCCTTGTTGTTTTTATTATTTTTAATACTAAAGGAAATAGTCGGGAAGTATATCCTTTGTGTAAATGTGAATGTACCATATCCAGGGCTTTTCTGCATTATTTATTCTTATTTCAGAATTTTCTATCTGTGGGCCTTTGGATATTAAAGTCAAGTAACTTGACTCATTACGATGTCAAAAATTACCCAGTCAAAAATTTAAATTTAGGACTTAAAGAGATACTGGGTTTTTTTTTGGGGGGGGGAGGGTAACATGAAACAGTGTTAGAAATGAAAACATTAACATTAAATGCCACCGTGCGTTTGAAGATTCTCGTACCAGTAAGAAGAGGGAGTATTAGCGCATGCTTTGTCACAGATAAGACAAAATGTTAGTCAGCAATGTAAAGATTATGTATGTATATTTTAAGAATTTTGATGTTCCAAGTAGTACCACCACTTTTTATGTAAATAACAAGTAATAATTATAGCTATTATATTCTGTGTTATTTTTCTCTGTTTTTACCAGGTTCTAGAAGGAAAACCCATCTATGTTGATTGTTTTGGCAACCTGGTGCCATTAACCAAGAGTGGCCAACATCATATCTTCAGTTTTTTTGCCTTCAAAGAAAACCGACTTCCTCTCTTTGTCAAGGTAATAAGACATGGGCTTTTGTAATGCATTTTACTTAAGATCAAGTAAGGATTTGACTTCCTTTAGTAGGAGACAATTTTGCTTTTCAGTCATTACAGTAATTTTTTAAAACCATGTCTGTGAAATTTTAAAGTCCTATAAAACTGTTTTTATTTTTGAAGTTCAAATTCAACCTTCATTTTATAACTTATAGACTATGGTTAAGGCTGAGAATTAGGACAAATAGCCAGTTCATTAATTAGAAAAACTGGTTACTTTTTTTCCCAAATTTTACAAGTCTCTCTCTCTTTTTTTACTATCATTTCTTCTAAATATTTATGCTTACATTTTAAAAATTTATGAATTTCATTAATGTGGAGACCAAAAGAGTTCTAAGTGACGACTTTTTGTAATAAAAGCTCTCAAGGGACCCAGGATCTCACTTAATCTAGTAAGAGATTATCAGAGATAGAGCTGTGAACTGCGTATATTTTCATAAATTCATCCAACAAACATTTCTGGAGATACTTCAGTACACTGTGAATTTGTTGTCTCTGTTTAAGAATATTAATTCAACTTAGGAATTTGGCAGCGATATATATACATTTCATTCTAGATTCCAGTTCTAAAAAGGGACAAAAATGTGTGATGGCGAGATTCATGAAATGAAAAGGAAGTAATAATTCTGTGCTCTATTTCTCCAGCCACTCATTTTTTTTCCTTGCTTCTCACAGTGTATTTCACTAATCTAGAAGTCCTAATGCTCAATCCTCACAAGATAGAAGCTGGTCTCCAATAGTTTTCACTACACGGCCTTCAGACTACTAATTCCCAGTTTGTCAGCAATGACTCATTTTAATCCCTTATGACTTTCCAAGCGTATGTCAGTAAACCTCTCAAGTTTTTTAAAGTCTGTTAAGCTTTTCCAAGATCTCTGAGTCCTTTGTTGTGCCATTTCTGGTTTGATTGTTTTATCTGATTAAAGATAGGTTCTTAGAGATCACCACATTAAACTGTAACTGCTGAGGGTAATGGGTCCATTTAACACAAATGGCTGTATAATTAAGCTAATACTTGATATTGTTGATGTGCAAAAGTCATTCTTTTTTTTTTTTAAGATTTTATTTATTTGACAAAGAGAGACACAGCGACAGAGGGAACACAAGCAGGGGGAGTGGGAGAGGGAGAAGCAGGCTTCCCGCCCAGCAGGGAGCCCGATGCCGGGCTCGATCCCAGGACCCTGAGATCATAACCTGAGCGGAAGGCAGACGCTTAATGACTGAGCCACCCAGGCGCCCCGCAAAAGTCATTGTACAAACAACCAAATACAGAAATGAGCAAAGGACTCAGACATTTCTCCAAAGAAGGCAAACTGGTGGCCAATAAGCATATGAAAAGATGCTCAACAGCTTAAGGAAATTCAGATTCAAATCACAATGAGAAACTTTGTACCCATTAGGGTGGCAGCTGTTAAAAAATAAGTATATAAATAATGAAATAGCTAACACATGTTGGCAAGGATGTGGAGAAATTGGGACCCCGATCATTGCTGATGGGAATACAAAATGGATGCAGCCATTGTGGAAAACAGTATGATGATTCCTCAAAAATTCAAACCTAGATTAACCTATGATCCAGCAATTCCACTTCTAGGTATATACCCAAAAGAACTGAGAGCAGGGACTCAAGCAGTTACTTGCATCCCGGTGTTCATAAGAGCATTATTCACAGTAGCCAAAAGGTGGAAACATCCCAAGTATCCATTGACAGGTGAATGGATAAAAAATGGTATATACGTACAATGGAATATTATTCAGCCTTAATAAGGAATGACATTTTGATACATGCTGTAACATGGATGAACCTGGAAGGCATATGCTAAGTGAAATTAGCCAGACACAAAAGGACAAATACTCTGTTTCCACTTATAAGAGGTACCTAGAGAGGTTAAATGCCTAAAGTCAGAAAATAGAACGGTGATTGCCAGGAGATGAGGTGAGGGAGGAATGGAAAGTTCGTGTTCAATGGAAACAGAGTTTCAGTTGGTGAACATGAAGAAGTTCCGAAGATGAATGGTAGTGATAGTTGTACAACAGTGTGAATGTACTTATTGCTGCTGAACTGTGCATGTAAAAATGGTGGAAATGATAAGTTCTATGTTATGTATATTTTAACACAATTCTTTTAAAGAATGAAATTCTGATATATGTTGCAACGTGGTTGAAGTTTGAAAATATTATGCTAAGTAAAGTAACCCAGACTCAAAAGGAACAAACAACGTATAACTCTTATCTATTCAGGGTACCTGGAAGAGGCAAATTTACAGAGACAGAAAGTAGAATAGAGGTGACCTGGGGTGGCGGAAGAGAAGAATGGGGAGCTATTGTTTAATGGCTACAGAGTTTGTGTTTGGGATGATGACAAATTCTGCATAGTAGGGATTTGATGAATGCACAAGTTTGTGCATGTGCTTAATGCCGCTAAATTGGACACTTAAAAATGGTAAGCGTAAAAATGGAAATGGTAAATTTTATGGTACGTGTCTTTTACCACGATTTTTTAAAAGCTGAATGATTTTTAAAAAGTCATTCTAAATGAATATAGAAACAGAGAAAGGAACACCTCTAAATCCTTAGCATTATCAAATGAATTTATTTTTTCCTCATTCTCTTGAGTATCATCTAATTAAAATAAATAGTACACATCATAGGTGGGTGAAGTACGTATGCCCTTCTTGTTCAAGGTACGTGACACGACTCAGGAACCTTGCGGGCGACTATCGTTTATGAAAGAGCCAAAATCCACAAGAGGCCTGGTGCATCAAGCTATTTGCAACTTAAACATCACCCTGCCGATTTATACAAAGGTATTGTCAAATCTGTTGGAGTGCGGTTCAGTCTCTATAGGATTTAATTTTCAAACCCTTTAAAAATAAGTAAAAGCAAAAGCACTGAATGCAAGCACATATAGCAGTCATTTTTGATTCCCTGTCAAACTTACGATTTTCCATTTAAGTAAGGAAAAAAGGTAGCTCTCCTTTATTTTGCGTTAAATTCACTCTGATGGAAACTTTTCTATCAATACATATTGGACAGGAAAGAAAATTTGAATTTAAGATTTAACTTTTTGGACTCATTTTTAAAAATAAATTGGCTTTGTCTTCACTGTTGTTTTTATGTGCCCTTCTGGGGTGATACTAGTCCATTTGGCCCCAGCAAAGTATTATGAGTTCATTAGCTTCTGTTCACTGCCAATTCACAGGTGGATTATTTATTATTAAATTCAGAGCAACCTCATGAGATTTTATCTTATTGCTAAAATAAGTTCCTATTCATCTTATAACCTATAATGTTTTGGGGGTATCAAACTAATTTTTCAATGATTTTAGCATGATTAGTATAAAAAATACTCCCATGTGACAAGGGGTAGATTTGAAACATTGTTGAAAAGGAACACTTCATCAATTCCTGACCCAAAGTCTCCTTACCAGGTATTACTTTCTATTCAGACTGCTCACCATTACAGAATTCCTGGCTTACTCTGATCAAGTTGAAGACAACTGAATGAATTAAATGTTGGGGATAACTTAATTTTTATTACTTAAAAAAATTTTAACCAATATCTTTTCAGTGGAAAGTTTCCCCCCACCCCCCATGGCGGTCTGTAGGGGGCTGCAGAGCTGTCAGTGTGTGTACTAGAGGTTGGGGAGGGGGATGAGTAATGGCAGGTAAGACTTGGAGGAGATGTAGAAATATATTTAAAACCCTAAATCTTGACTCCACAAAACAAAGCATTTCGACACTTCTTTTTACCCACTATGGTATATTTTTCTTAACCAGTTATTCTTCTAAATAGAGATCGGACACAGAAAAGCTTCATGTTTAATGTTGCAAATTCTCATTATATGATAAAAGTGAAATATTATCTGTATATGAAAACATATGTGTTATTCCAGTAATTGGAATACAGCAATAAGTATATCCACCCAAATGAGCATAATCTAATTTCACTCCAGTGATGGAAAATGTACTTTGGGGTTTGTAGATTTGTGAGTCACCGAAGCAGAATGCCAAATAAGAAGCACAACAAAATATATACTGCTGTGGGCAGTCCAACTGAGTGACGTATAAAGATGAATGAGCTTTGTCTCTGATTTCAGTGAACTTTCAGTGTGCTGTAAAATAAAGCATTTACTTTATTATTACCCTATATTTCTAAGTTGAGACATATCATTAATGCCATGATGGTCCAGGACAGCTTTCCAGTTAGTAACTCAAAATAAAAAGGAAAACTGCCAAACATTATATACACTTCACATAAACTTTAGAATTTAGTAGCTCTTTATTATAATAGAACTCCTAAATATTGCCTGTGTATTCAAAATATTTTTACCATAAGCTTATTTGTGGTCTTTAACATTTTCAGCTAGTATCTGTAATGACTGGGATATATCATCCCCATTTCTCTAGACATATGCATCAAATCCATTAAATACCCAACTTTAAGGCTGCTAGTAACCTCTAGGATCTGAAATGAGTATATTTGTAATTTTAGTTCTTTTGTCTAATAAATTAGTATACTTATAATTTTGGTTCTTTTGCCTCTTGAATCTACAGACTTTCACATTTAAATCAATCCTTTTAAATTTTTGTGCCTGTCTTCTATAAACTGTTAGTAAGAAGAAAACCAGAGTACGCTGGTGGTATGCTTGCCTGTTGATGTTTGTTGGCAGTGTATTTGATCTTTTCTTCTAAAGACTCTCTACTCTTCCTGCTCTCTTTTTTCCATCTTGCATGGCATCTTGGGGCGGCAAGGAATCAGAGTCAGATCAAGAACAGGAAGAAGAGGTAATTGTATGGCATTGTCGCTTATTGATATCTGTATTTGCTATAACCACTAATAAGAGCACATAGTTAACCTGTGTTCTTAGAAGGGTTATGCGGTTGTTAGTAACTGAAGGGTCACAGTTTTACTTAACCTCTCTGAGCCTCTGTTTTCTCATCTCATGGACTAAATTCAAAGGATAGTAAAGCTTTCTCTATAAATTGTTACCCTGTCTCTGTGCAATAATAAAGGTTTCTCTACTGACTACTGAAGGCCAAGCCATTATTTCAGTTCTCAAAGGTTGGTCTGGAGATGCCTGGAGGTCAAAACTTTTTTTGTTTTTAATATAACTGAGACATTATTTGTCTTTTGCCTCCCGTATCTCCACAAGCTGTAGAGGAGTTTTCCAGAGGCTACATTACATATGATGACATCATCAGTCTGACTCTGGAATGGGTGCTTGTGTATACTTGGGTTCTAGGAATTTCTCAGTTTTAATGTATAAGACAGATATTTACTTGTATATATCAAACATAAACAGAAGTTCTTCAAGGTCTTCAATAATTTTTAGGAGTGTAAAGGAGTCTTGAAACCAAAAAGTTTGAGAAGCACTAAGACTAAAAACTTTAAGAAGTGTATAGTTCAACCAGTAGACTATAATATTATAATGCAGAACTCTACTAATAATGAGCACTTCTTATAAGGTAGAGTCTTTATTAAGTGCTCCACGTACCTAATCAACACTGATCCTCACAATTGCCCTGTGAGGTCTGTGCTATCATAGATGAAGAAAGCCAGTCTTCAAGAGGTTGCCTTGAATAAAGAACCTTTTGAATAAGACTTCTTTGATAGTTCAGGCACATCTGTGTTTGTTTCCCTTATAAAGATTTGAATGCTCAAACATCATCATAGAAATGAAAGGAAATTCCTTCTACTTCCCTATTTACATATTGGTTCCTGCTTATAAGGTAGACAAATGCAGTTGTTATTAGTTGCACATAAAGATTTTCAAATATACTAGTGTTATATTTTTAATGTTACTTGATGGATTTGGGAATACAAAAACATAAAGAAAAATATAGTAAATACCCTTGTACCCACCAGCTTAAAATGTAAGGCCTTTTTAGTGCAGAGAATTGCCCTGAATTCACTTTTTACTCCTACCCTGGCCGCGGAGCAGGACAAGAGGGGAGGTGATAGCCTCACTGTCCTGCCATATAGAACCATATGCACAGTAATTATGACAGGACAGATGTCAACCTTCCCCTCGATTGTATAGCCACTCTTTGTCTCACATACTCAGTTTCCTTCGTGCACATGGTGACCCCCTCACCAAACCTGTTCAAAATGGTACCTACACACCTTCTTAGAAGCGCAATGCAACTATAAAACCATTTTTTGCTATATTTAAATGAGTTTCTTGCATTAGGTTTGTGATTGTTCTATTGAATATTTTCAGGAGCTTTGCAGGGCAATAGATCCAGTTTGTATTCTTTTCAGGATTTAGAATTTTGGCTTGTCATTAATGACAATGAAACTGGTACTTCTGTAGAATGTATTACCCTGGCATGCTGTTTGTTATTTCCTTCTTTGTCTCAACTAAATTGACACTGTTTAACCCCCACTTCACTCTTTTCCTGGCCTTTTCCCTAATACATATGTATTTCTAACATCAAATGCACCCTGGATCATATCTTGCTAGAAATAACATTAAAAAGTGCTTTCCACCTATGAAGTCTAGAAAGGAGGTTTGTTTTTTCCCCAAAGTTAGGATAAGAATCAAGGAGACTCTCAGGAAGAACTGTAGCAAAGTACTTTGACCTTCCTCTAGCTTATGTTATCTCCCCATGGGTGTGATTTTGAATAGGAGCTTATTTGCACATCAGGGGCTGTGAAAGCAGACGCAGTTTGTAACCATTCAATTTATGTATGTTTTCTTTCAGATCGATATGACATCAGAAAAAAGTAAGATTTTAAATAAAATTGAGTTTGTTTGAAAGCTGGCTACAATAAAGAGAAGCATGAATTAAAATGCAGCTAGTTGCCATTACTAACCACTATAATAATTATATTTTTATATTGTCCTTATTAATCATTAATGTATATTTAGAAAAGCAGCTTGGCCAGTTAAATTACAAAAATATCTAATTTGTTGAGCTAATTAGCAGTAAAATGCAATGATTATTCATCTAAGCATTCACTTTCTTTTGATACCCCTGTTAACCCTGCTATTGCTGTTATGCTTGTTTAGAAACCCACCCTACCATTTTTGTCCATTTGTTAGCATAACATTGTCATCTCATTTTTTTTTAAGCACTGACATGACAGTATCACTTTTATATCAAGCAACACTGACTTCGGGAGAGAGCTCATTATTTTTGTAGGCTACACCTGCAAAAGTGATACTGTCTTAATAGTTCTCAGCTAAAGCTAACCCTTCCCCCACCCCCACCACCCAGCACCTCTTACTGTGGTGAAGTGTAACGGACTTCTTTAGGGCTGAGGCCTAACGGACTTTTGTGAAACTTTCTGGAAAAAAAAAGAAAAAAAAAAAGAACCAGGAATGCAAAAATCAAAACCTCCTGGATGAAATTACTAATCACAACATTGTGCCATGATAGGGCTAATTTTAAATAATGATGCAAATCCTAAATATAATTTAGTACAGAGAGAACTGGTTTTTACAGACCTTAAGAGAGTTATCTTAGAACTCATTTTGGGTTTGTAACAATACATTAATATTTTAGTTTTGGGGCCTGTTTCTGGTGACTCTGGTTTCTTGTGTGGAAGAAGTTGAATTTTTCAGGTTTCTTTCTTGCTTCTATGCCCCCAAATAGTTGAGGAAAAAAATACTAATTTTTATTGTTTATTCATTTAAAAATTCATTTTGATTCACTGTATTTCAGGTTGCTATTCCCAAAAGGAGAAAACTTAGAACCATGTTTAATATGGTCATCTGGCCCTATGCAATGATCTGGGGGCTTTTTTTTTTTTTAAGACTTAGTATAATGTAAATTACTAACTTATTGGGATTTTTTTTTTTTTAAAGATTTGATTTATTTATTTGGAGAGCAGGAGCAGGGGGTGAAGGGCAGAGGGAGAAGCAGACTCCCCACTGAGCAGGGAGCACAAGGCAGGGCTCGATCCCAGGACTCCAGGATCATGACCCGAGCAGAAGGCGGCCACTTATGGACTGAGCCACCCAGGTGCCCCTAGAATGCTTTTAATTGAGAGTTTCTTTGCTCTTATGTTAAATCATCATTCAGGACTAGATTATTTGAAATTCTGGATGTTTTCATTTGGTTTGTACTTGAGCAAATTTGCATTGATATAAATTATTTTAAGATATCTTTATATATGCATAGTCACAGAGTATATCTCCTCAATAAATACCAATTCTCTCAAGAGAAGACACTTATTTGTTAAAAAAGTGACATTATCATTGCCTTAATTCCTTTTTTTAAAAAGAGGTTTTATTTTATTATCCCACTTTCTTCTTCGGAACTACTATGTTTATTTAAAAGGCCCTTTCCTTTGTTTCTTGAATACTAGCTAGTAGAAATTCAAGTTTAATACATCCCCCTGGCTCAGTTGTTTAAAAAAGAAAAAGGAGGGGGTGCCTGGGTGGCTCAGTCAGTTAAGCACCTGCCTTCGGCTCAGGTCATGATCCCAGAGTCCCAGAATCGAGCCCCGCATTGGGCTCCCTGCCCAGTGGGGAGTCTGCTTCTCCCTCTGTCCCTCACCCCTCTCTCATGCTCTCTCTCTCTCAAATAAAATCTTAAAAAAAGGAGGAAAAAGCTACTATATAGCTATAATGCCACAAATTCTCCTAAATGACTCCTAAGTGTTGTGAATATTTTTTAAAGTTTAAACATAGATACGTGTTTGGGTTGTTTTTTTGTTGTTGTTTTTTGTTTTTTTTTTAGTTTAAATTCTGGTTTAAAGACAATCCTTAGTTTAAAGACAATCCTTAAATAATCTTCATCTAGGTATAAAATAACCTCTAAAGAAGGGCTCTAGTGAAGGAACTCTTTCCTAAGTCTTTTCAAGAGCAAATCCTAAAAGAGTTTGACCGACTTTTCCTTTTTGCTTTGAATGGGTGCAGGTCCCCACTACCTGTCCCTCGAATATACTACTACATTCAGCACCTATGTACAGGCTTGTAGAAAATAAATATGCTTCACCACAGTAATGTTTTCCATATTTGTTCTAATTTCTTAACCATCCTCCTGCCCGTGCATTTCAGCAAAGCCACCGCTCCCACCAGTTTCTTTCCACCTTTGCTTTGCATGGAAATAACTTGGCTTACATAAACTGTGCGTGTGTCTCGTGTGACTGTCTCTGATTTGGATTGCCATGCATCACATTTTAACTTTGGACTCACATATAAGTTTAATCACAGTTGTTGTTTTGTTCTTTTTTTTCTTTCCTTTCCTTTATTTCCCTCCTTGGTCTGTCCTTTATGTGTCTAAACCAGGAGGTTGCTCCAAGGAAAGGACCATGCCTCTTAGCACAAGACCATTCGTTTCATTGTTAGGTGTGAATTTCCCTTAGATGAAATGCCGGTTTGCAGCTGATTCAGACATTTTTATATAGTCACTGTATATTGGCAGAACAAAACATACTGATTTCCGGATTTTTATATGATTAAAAAACATATATACTTCATTAGAAGGCATTCTGAATTTGCTACTACTGGCTTTCTCCTAGAGGAAATCAACTTTCTGCAATTTCTAATGCTTTTTTCCTTTTCTTTCCCCATGTTTATATTTTTTTTCAACATTGATCTGTAACATCTGAACAATCTTGAGATACTTCTGTGTAATTTCACTGCGTTTGTTCTTTGTTTTGATCTGTGATGGTGTGTGTGTGTGTGTGTGTGTGTGTGTGTGTCTGTCATGGCTATTTGTTATAGCTTTGTTGTATGTGTGGATGTGCTACAAGTGAGAAAATTAAGCAAGTTATTTCCTGCTCATTTTTCCTTTTCAGTTTTTGGTTTTGTTTTAGTTTGTTTTTTTTTTTTTCCGTTAGCCTTGCTTTGCTTTTGTATCCTGAGACCTTGTGGATCCACCATTCCCAGCCCATTCTGTTGTCCCTCCCGCCACAACAGGAAAAGACACTGTGTCGTTTCAGTCCTGATTACATTTGCCAATATATTTTTTGATTTCCATTTTACTTTCAATGTTTTTCATTCACATCAAAGATGATGAGACAGAATCTACAGAAACATCTGTCCTGAAAAGTCACCTGGTTAATGAAGTTCCTGTCCTAGCCAGTCCGGACTTGCTCTCTGAAGTTTCTGAGATGAAACAAGATTTGATCAAAATGACCGCCATCTTGACCACAGATGTATCTGATAGGGCAGGTTCTATCAAGGTGAAGGAGCTGGTGAAGGCTGCTGAGGAAGAGCCAGGAGAGCCTTTTGAAATTGTTGAAAGAGTTAAAGAGGACTTAGAGAAAGTGAATGAAATCCTGAGAAGTGGAACCTGCGCGAGAGATGAAGGCAGTGTGCGAAGGTCTCAGTCGGAGAGAGAATTAGAGGAAGAGGAATGGGTGATTGTCAGTGATGAGGAAATAGAGGAGGCTAAGCTAAAAGCACCTTTAGAAATCACCGAATACCCATGTGTAGAAGTTAGAATAGATAAAGAACACAACGTCAAAGTAGAGAAAGACTCAACTGGGCTAGTGAACTACCTTACTGAGGATCTAAATTCCTATGTGTCTCCTCATGAAAGGCCACTGCAGACAGTTCAAGAGATAGCAGGGGAGAAACGTGAGGCTCTGGCTACTGGCAGGAGCTCTGAAAATGAAGGGAAAGATGCAACCCCAGATGAGACACAAAGTGCACAGAAACAGCACAAACCGAGCCTGGGAATAAAGAAGCCAGTGAGAAGGAAATTAAAAGAAAAACAAAAACAAAAAGAGGAAAGTGTACAAGGTAGTGCAGAAAAAAGTGAACTTAAAAAATGTAGTTCAGAAGAGTCGTTAGATGAAGATGCAGGTTTAGCCCCCGAGCCCCTTCCCACTGTAAAGGCCACTTCACCTTTGATAGAAGAAACTCCCATTGGTTCCATAAAGGACAAAGTAAAGGCCCTTCAGAAACGAGTGGAAGATGAACAAAAAGGTCGAAGCAAGTTGCCAGTCAGAGTCAAAGGTAAGGAAGATGTGCCAAAAAAGGTAACCCACAGGACACATCCAGCTGCATCACCCTCTCAGAAGTCAGAGAGGCATGTACTGGCATCACCCTCCTCTAAAACAGAAAGACACTCTTCTCTTTCCTCCTCTACAAAAACTGAGAGGCATCTTCTGGTATCACCGTCAAGTAAAGCTGAGAAGCACTCACCTGTGTCCCCCTCTGCAAAAACTGAAAGGCATTCCCCTGTGTCATCAAGTAAAACCGAGAAACACTCACCTGTGTCACCCTCGACAAAAACGGAAAGGCACTCCCCTGTGTCATCTACAAAAACAGAAAGACACCCACCTATTTCACCTTCGGGTAAAATGGACAAACGCCCACCTGTATCGCCCTCTGGGAGAACGGAGAAACATGCACCAGGATCACCTGGGAGAACAGAAAAACGCTTGCCTGTGTCACCAGCTGGACGAATGGAAAAGCATCCACCTGTATCAACCTCTGGGAAAACTGAGAAGCACCTGCCTGTGTCCCCTTCTGGGAAAACAGAAAAGCTACCACCTGTATCCCCCACCTCAAAAACAGAAAGAATTGAGGAGACAATGTCTGTCCGGGAGTTGATGAAAGCTTTCCAGTCAGGTCAGGACCCATCTAAACATAAGACTGGACTCTTTGAGCACAAGTCAGCAAAACAAAAGCAGCCACAAGAAAAAGGCAAAGCTCGGGTAGAAAAAGAAAAGGGGCAGATGCTAAACCACAGAGAAACACAGAAAACCGAGAGTCAGATGATCAAACGAGGCCAGAGATTTGTGGTAACAGGAGTTTCCGAATCCAAAAGAGCAGTCCGTGCTTCCTCCGTAGGGTTTAAGAGAGAAGATCTAGTTATAGAGAAGGCGAAAGCTCTTAGCCACAAAACACCTGAACCCGTTCAGTCAGCACCAGAAGAAGACAGCCATAAAGAGAGTGAAGTTCCCAAAGAAAAGCTGACTGATGAACAGGGAGACATGGATCTCCAGATCAGCCCAGACAGGAAAACCTCCACTGACTTTTCTGACGTCATTAAGCAAGAATTGGAAGACAATGACAAATACCAACAATTCCGAATGAGTGAGAAGACAGAAGAAGTACAGCTTCACTTAGATCAAGTACTTACTAGTCCTTTCAACACAACATTTCCACTAGATTACATGAAAGATGAATTTCTCCCGGCTCTGTCTTTACAAAGTGGTGCTTTGAATGGCAGTTCTGAGAGCCTCAAGCCTGAAGGGGTGGCAGGTTCTCCATGTGGCAGCCTGATGGAAGGGACCCCTCAGATTAGTTCCGAAGAAAGCTATAAGCATGAGGGCCTCGCAGAGACCCCTGAGACAAGCCCAGAAAGCCTTTCTTTCTCACCGAAGAAAAGTGAGGAACAAATTGGGGAAATAAGTGGAACGACCAAGTCAGAAACACCAACAGCAGTTCCTTCAGAAAAAGACCATCCCTCAATCAAAGACATCACTGATGGTTCTGAAGAGCAAGGTGCCATAGTCACTGAAGGCACGGAGTCCTCAGCTGAGTGTTTGCTGAAGGAGGCCACCCTAGACCCTTCCAAAGATACACGCCCCGAGCAAGAAGATGATTCCCTTGGCAGCTGTAGTGTGTTACTAGCAAAAGAAACACCCAAAGGATTGACTGAGGAAGCATTCTCTGATGAGGGTCAACTTACGAAAGTTGGTTCAGCCCACAAAACCCACACTGATACTGAAGCTCAGAAATCCACAACCACTGAGCCCTCAGATGAGACAAAGGCCTCTCCACAGCCCGAAGCTTGTGTAAAGACAGGCACAGGAACTGAATCAAAGCCCCAGGGAGTTGCTAGAAGTCCCCAGGGGTTAGAACTTGCACTCCCTAGCCGAGATAGTGAGGTCCTCAGCCCTGGTGCTGATGAATCCTTTGCAGTGAGCCACAGAGACTCCCTGGAAGCCAGCCCTGTGCTGGAGGATAACTCCTCACACAAAACGCCAGATTCTCTGGAGCCAAGTCCTCTGAAAGAATCCCCTTGCCGTGACTCTCTTGAAAGCAGCCCTGTGGAACCAAAGATGAAGGCTGGAGTTCTCCCAAGTCACTTCTCTCTTCCTGCAGCCATAGCCAAAACAGAACTCTTTACGGAAGTGGCCTCTGTGCGGTCCCGGCTGCTCCGAGACCCGGATGGCAGTGCCGAGGACGACAGTGTTGAGCAGACGTCACTGGTAGAGAGCTCAGGGAAGAGCCCCCTTTCTCCTGACACCCCCAGCTCGGAAGAAATTAGCTATGAGGTCACACCCAAAGCCACAGATGCAAGCACACCCAAACCAGCTGTAATTCACGAATGTGCAGAGGAGGATGACTTGGAAAATGGGGAGAAAAGGAGATTCACACCTGAAGAGGAAATGTTTAAAATGGTAACCAAAATCAAAACGTTTGATGAACTTGAACAAGAAGCAAAGCAGAAAAGGGACTACAAGAAAGAACCCAAGCAAGAAGAATCTTCTTCATCCTCTGACCCAGATGCTGACTATTCAGCAGATGTGGATGAACCAAAACAGATGGAGAGTGTCGAGGATGAAAGCGATGTCCCTGTGGTAGTAACATCGGAGAGCAGAAAGGCTTCTTCCTCCTCCGAGAGTGAACCTGAGTTGGCACAGCTGAAAAAAGGTGCTGACGCAGGCCTCTTACCAGAGCCAGTTATTCGGGTGCAGCCTCCTTCCCCACTTCCATCCAGCGTAGACTCCAATTCTAGTCCTGAAGAAGTACAATTTCAACCCATCGTTTCCAAACAATACACTTTCAAAATGAATGAAGATAGTCAAGAAGAGTCAGGTAAATCAGAAGAAAAAGATCGTGAATCCCATGTACCTGAAGAGAGTCCTACTGTTTCTACTAACGGCCCAGATATGTCTTATGATGATCTGAACGGAGATGCTGAGCAACCAGAAGTCTGTGAAGGCCATAGGTGTGGGACCGGAAGTCCCAGCAGCTCAGTCACTCCTATACCTTCAGGTCTCTACAGCTCCCCCAGGGAAGATGCCATCGAGCAACTAGCTATCCATGAGGAATCAGTACCTCTGCAAGACACTGATGAAAAAGACACCAAAGGAGAAGAGCTTGATGTTTCTCGAGTGGAATCTCTACAGGTAGATTGCCCCAGTGAAAGCTCTTCATCTTTGTCCTCCTTGCCTCACTGTCCAGCCTCTGAAGGACAAGAATTAGATGAAGACATATCCCCTCTCTCTTCTGCTACAAAAAGGGAGGACACCAAAACCGACCAGGCTTTTGAGAGCTTACTGAAGGACTATGCCACTCAAGACTCACCGATTACTACTCAAACAGATAAATTGTACATGGATGTTCCAGTGTCTGACCCGGCTGAAACTGATGAAATCTACGATCCTCAAATAATAAGCCCTTATGAAAATGTTCCTTCCCAATCTTTTTTCTCCAGTGAAGAAAGCAAAACCCAAACGGATGCAGGACACACAAGTTTTCACTCTTCGGAAGTGTGTTCTGTTACCATCACATCCTCTGTTGAAGACGTGGTGGTAACCAGCTCCTCCAATAGAACTGTTTCAAGCCAAGAATCTAATTTTGAGGACCAAAACATGGAAAAAGAATCCAAACAAGAAAGCACCTCATGGGAAAAGCAATCAGATCAAGCCCCTTCATCTTTACAGCCTTCTGTACCAAATACATCAGCAGTTGTTAGGGACCAAATCAGCAAAGTCATCATCACAAAAACTGATGTGGATTCGGATTCCTGGAGTGAAATCCGTGAGGATGATGAAGCCTTTGAAGCTCGAGTGAAAGAGGAAGAACAAAAGATATTTGGTTTGATGGTAGACAGACAATCACAGGGTACCACCCCTGACACTACTCCGGCAAGGACCCCAACTGAAGAGGGGACCCCAACCAGTGAGCAAAACCCATTTCTCTTTCAGGAAGGAAAATTGTTTGAGATGACCCGAAGTGGTGCCATCGATATGACCAAAAGGTCCTATGCCGATGAAAGTTTTCACTTTTTCCAAATTGGGCAAGAATCCAGGGAAGAGACTCTCTCTGAAGACATGAAAGAAGGGAGTCCTGGGGCTGAGCCCCCACAACGGGAGACATCAGCTGAGTCACTAGCTCTCTCAGAATCAAAAGAAACAGTGAGTGAGGAAGCATACTTAATTCCAGATGACCTGAGTGAGGAAGCAGAGGAAATACCTGCTTCAGATGCTCAACTTAACACCCACATGGGGAACTCAACCTCCATTGAAACATCACCAAAAGAGGCTCTTTCTGAAGGTGCCGAGGACCTCCTCACCACACAAATGGGTGATACGCCTCCTAAATCTAGTGTGAAAGATCCATCTTGCCCTGACCCCCCTGAATCAGTTGTACACATTCAGTTAGATTTTTCCGCAGTTACCAGGTCTGTGTATTCAGATCGGGAGGATGATTCTCCTGATTCTTCCCCAGAGGAACAGAAATCAGTAATTGAAATCCCTACTGCACCCATGGAGAATGTGCCTTCTACTGAAAGCAAATGCAAAATTCCTGTAAGGACTATACCCACATCAACCCCAGCACCCCTATCCGTGGAGTATGAGAATTCCCTTTCTGAAGATTTCTTACCCAGCCTGGATGAGGAAAGTAAAGAGGATGAAACAAAACCAAAGTCTAAAATCCCCGTGAAAGCCCCTGTCCAAAGAGTAGAGCAGCAGCTTTCACATCTAGATTCATCTCTCCAGAAAATAGTGGCTCCTCAGGGTCAGGACATGACAAGCAGAACACCAGATAGTGGAAGCAAATCTGAATCTGATGCCAGTGCTTTGGACTCAAAGACCAAATGTCCAGTAAAAACCAAAAGTTACACTGAGACAGAAACAGAGAGCAGAGAGAGGACAGAGGAGCTGGAGTTAGAATCAGAAGAGGTGGCCACCAGACCAAAGATATTTACATCCCGATTGCCAGTTAAGAGCAAAAGCACCACATCTTCCTGCAAAGGCGCTGTGAGCCCTACAAAAGAAAGTAAGGAGCATTTCTTTGACCTTTACAGGAACTCCATAGAATTCTTTGAGGAGATTAGTGATGAGGCTTCCAAGTTAGTGGATAGACTTACACAGTCAGAAAGGGAGCAAGACTTAGTTTCAGATGATGAAAGTAGTAGTGCCCTGGAAGTTTCAGTAATTGAAAATCTGCCACCTGTTGAGACCGAGCATTCAATTCCTGAGGACATCTTTGACACAAGGCCTATTTGGGATGAGTCCATTGAGACTCTGATTGAACGCATCCCTGATGAAAATGGCCATGACCATGCTGAAGGTATTTGCCAGCCACTGGGATTCCCTGTGCTACGCATGTCATAAATTTGATATCGTTTTTTTTGTATATCTTTTATTTGGTGATCTGTGTCTCATTTTCTTTAAGCTTTCTGTAGTGGTTACTGTGTTTGTGTAAGGCCTTTGTGTTTCGTGCTTTCTCTGTGTACTCTTGTCTGTGAAAACAATCTCAAGATTGAGTAATGAGAATGCTTATGGAAAACATAAACATGACAAACAGGCAATGGTGATCTTGCCTTTCTCGAGCCGCTGCACGTCAGGCCATGCAAGCTTTGAGTTTTGTTGTTCTGGAGTCCCAGGCTTAGCCTCAAATTAAGCACTTTTGCTTTTGCACATGAATACGTTGGGCTTTGTTTCATATGGTAAGGATTCATTGCTTTTCCTTCTTACCTTTAAGTATTTTAAAATAATTGGTACTCAATAAATTTGTAATCATTAGGAAGCCATTTGCTTCCTAATGTCATGTTATCCCAAAATACCAATTGTTGTGGATCTGTTTTTGATTCAGAAGGTTGGAGCTCAGATACCACTGGTAAACACTTGAAGCAAACAACTATAAGGCCAAAAAACCCCATGCTTTTTGTTTTAGTGTTAGGTGAATGGAGAATGTACTCCGATTAGGTGCAGCAGACAACAAAAACTCAAACTTTGCATGATGTAAGTGACCGGGAGAGGATGATGACCCTTTGAATTATAAAAAAGGAAACCATAGATGGCTTTGAGAAGTAGCCTCTGGTCTTCCAATATCTCTACAATAAAGACTATTATTCTTAAATTTGTGTCGTAAGTTGTCATGATGCCTAAAATGCTGCCTATCAATTAATGGGGGTTAAAAACCAATGGGAAAATTATAGTTTGTGGGAGTAATATATAAGCTTACTTAGTAGTAAGTAGACTGAAATTTCACACAAAAGACATCTATACCTATTGACACAATAGACACAAATACATATGCCTTTACCCTCCCTTCTTCCAAGGTCACCAGGACCAAGGAAAATGTTTCTGGCCAGACTGAAAAAAAACCCAGGATGGCCTGATTAACCCATGATCTATGTCTCTTATGAATCTTGGATGTGATTTCTTTTTAGACATGACCCGGAAGTGATCTATGCTGCCACAGGCAATAATAGGAGATCCTAACCAGTTACTCCACTTCTGCATCCCATTTATGATTTTTCTGGTTTTTGATGAACAAGATGATTGTCTTCTGGTGGGCAGAATTCTCTCAGATAATTTAAAAAGAAAATCCTAAGATTGCTAGAAATCAGCAACTTATATGTCCAGTGACTAGTCTTGATTAAAGAGATATGGAAGCAGTTGGTTTTCATGATTTATAATTAAATTGATTCCCCATTCCATTCCAGAAACCAGGCAAACACACAATTTAAAATGATTTGAAATATAATAGCTAATTTGTGCTATTATTAAATATTTGGACAAGTGACTTCCTTTCTTTGGATGAGTACTGTGGTTGCTCTCCTGTCATAGACAACCTTTGGCCATTCTGTTTTTGACCTGTAGATCAACAGGATGAGCAGGAACGGATCGAAGAAAGGCTGGCTTATATTGCTGATCATCTTGGCTTCAGCTGGACAGGTAAAATTAGTGTGACTCATTTTCTCAAGAAAACTTGCTTTGTTTAAGTAACACAATTGCATTAGCCAAGTGTCATTAACAATGAAAAGGTTTTTTTTTTTCTTTCTTTCTTTCTTGAGGAAGACCATGTGGAATAGTGAAAAGAATAATAAACTCTGAACTAGAAAATCCAGGACAGGCCTTTTATTATCTCTGGAATTTAGAAAAATAGAACTTTAAATTGGGGGACTTTGAGAATCTACCAGATGTCACTGTCCTCCATTGGGAGCTATGGATATCCAAACTTTGAGGGGATTACTGTGTTTCAAAATCACTGTTAGGTGTAACTGTCACAGAATTTAGTTGGAGATTAAACCTAGGGCTCCTTATTTTAGATACCTTATATCAGATACCTTCATTGTAAATAGTACTAAAATTTGCCTTGGATGCATGTTGAAATACATATGAATAAGACGTTTCACTAATTTTCTGAGAAATTAGGATATTTAAGTATAAAAATTATAATGTATGTAAAATTATTTTAAAAAGTGAATTATAAAATCAATATGATGAATAGAAATCCATAAGACCCTTAACAAAGATAATTAATAACAGAGCAGAAAGAATAGTCATTTCCTCACTTTTAAACATTTTGAAGTAGTTGTTAAATACTGATCAGGTTTTTTTAATTGAGGGATTTAGGAGAAGAAAGGACATCAAAATATCCCTGATTGACTAATTAAATAGATGACATTCAGAATTATTTATTTCTTAAGTATGTGTGTGTTTGTGTATAAAACGTAATATCTATATACTTGTTGAAAATTCAAACCCCACAACCATACAGAATGGTATAAAATTACAAGTGTATGTGCTCGCTTCAGCAGCACATACACTAAAAGTGTAAATAAGTTTCTTTTACCTGCATCTGGTCTTCAAGCTTCATGCCTCAAAAGTAACTGCTTACACTTTCTCGTGTATTCAGAAAAAATAGGCCGTACCCACATCTATGTGTACTATTTAAAAATAAGCACAATTTTCCTCAATAATATTCCCTGTGAATATTCCATCAGCATAGACATATCTATCTCATTCTTTGAAATGTCTATTTAGTTTTACTGTGTGAAAGTATCATAATTTTTTTTAAAGATTTTATTTATTTATTTGACAGAGAGAGAGACAGCGAGAGAGGGAACACAAGCAGGGGGAGCGGGAGAGGGAGAAGCAGGCTCCCCGCCAAGCAGGGAGCCCGATGCCGGGGCTGGATCCCAGGACCCTGGGATCATGACCTGAGCTGAAGGCAGACACTTAACGACTGAGCCACCCCGAAAGTATCATAATTTTATCAGTGGCCTTTATTGCTGGACATTTAGGTTGTTAATGACAAACATCCTAGTGCATGGTGTATTTTCATGAGTATCTCTATAGGGCATATTAATAGAAGAAGAATTGAATATCTGGATAAAGGGTATGTGTATTTTTAATTTTGAAAGATATTGGCCAATTGCCATCCAAAGAGGACTTATTTACACACACACACACACACACACACATACATATGCACACCACAGTGTATAAGTGTCCATGTACAATGTTAATGGTAGACTTTAAAGGAAAATTTTGTGGCTTTTTCCCTAGGTCAATTAATGCTTCCCAGAGCTTTTATTCAAGTGACATCAAATTAAAGACAGGAGCTTATCCAACCAACATAATATAACCACAGCCAGTATTTATCCAAGCATCCAGAAATAGGATTTACAGTACTTAAAACATTAGTTAATGATGATTGAAAGTGAGAAAGTCTATTACTTCTGTTTTCAGTCATTTATTTTCCATTATCTTGGTTAAGAGTATAAGCCTGTGTTAATGGTCCAGTCTGCATTTTGGAATTAAATGGGCCTGAATTATACATGTTTTATCATCCATTGCGTCAAACTTAGTGTTTCCACTGTGAACGTGATCAATTCTATACCCAGTTTTAAGGAGAACATCCACAATTAGGGCTAGAAGAACAAAGGCATCTTGAGAGTTACTTCTAATACGTAGGGGGGAAAATGAACCCTATTACAGCAATACAAAGAATGCATCATTTACAAAATCACAGAGCCAGGTGTGGAGACTCAAACTTCGAAGTTCAGGTGTTTATGGAGTCATATTTTCCTTTCTAGAATTAGCAAGAGAACTGGATTTCACTGAGGAGCAGATTCATCAAATTCGAATTGAGAACCCTAACTCCCTCCAAGACCAGAGCCATGCACTATTGAAGTACTGGCTAGAAAGGGATGGCAGGCAAGCTACAGGTAGGTGGGGAGCTCTGTGTGAAAAGCATTAGGCTAAAGGTTGAGCTGTAAGTCTTGCTCAACAAGCCCTTTCCTACAAATTCAGTAAAACAATAAAATAACGAATGCCATCAATCTGAAATACTGCTGCAAGCAAATGAGAACAAGCTATGACATTTCTAAAATATGCATCTTGCATAACAATTCTTACACTATATTCCCATGAACATTGTCAATTAGGGGAAACCCTGGCTGCTAACAGCAACGTTATTAAAGTCCTAAAATTTTCAAAATATTGAGAGTGGACACCGTTAGTTTGTCATTGTTTTATTGGCAGCGCATTGCCTTCAGTTCCTACTTCCTTTACTCCTAAATAACGTAAATGAGGGAAAGATGTCATGTAGATATTCTTTATAATGATTTGTATATAATATTCTGACCACATCAAATCAAATGAGAAGTGATAAAGACCATTACTTCGTCTCATTCTTCAGCTAGTCTAAATTTGCTATTTCCTTTTATGTCTCTCTGAAGATCTACCTATAGGCCTCCTTTATTTACATCCAGTCTACATTTGCCCTTTCTTCTCTTGCCATTCTTCTAGGTAGGATTGCCAGATTTGGCAAATAAAACTAGAGGGCACCCAGTTAAATTTCAGAGAATCAACAAATAGTTTTTGATTTTATTTTTTTTAAGATATTATTTATTTATTTGCAGAGAGAGATAGCGAGAGCAGAAACACAAGCAGGGGGAGTGGGAGAGGGAGAGGCAGGCTCCCCGCTGAGCCAGGAGCCCTATGTGGGGCTCATTCCCAGGACCCTGGGATCATGACCTGGGCCGAAGGCAGCTGCTTAACGACCGAGCCACCCAGGCACCCCAACAAATAGTTTTTTAGTACAAGTACACTCCATGTGATATTTGGGATACACTTATACTTGAAAATTTGTTTGCTTGTTTTATCTGAAATTCAAATTTGACAGTGTCCTATATAATATCTGGCAACTCTACTTTTAGGGCCAATGCCTATGCTGTCCCACCTTTTTATGCATATATCTTTCCTATTTGCTTATTTTTTTACAAAGACCTTTAATTAAGCTTTGTTTCCTATACAAATATCAAATTTTAGTAAGGCAACTAAACGAAAGAGGTCTTAAAAAGAGTACCCCTCAAATGTAATAAATGCATTTTCTCTAATATCCCAGATACCAATCTCATTGAATGTCTCACCAAGATCAACCGAATGGATATTGTTCATCTCATGGAGGCCAGCACAGAGCCTCTCCAAGAGCGCATCAGTCATAGCTATGCAGAAATTGAACAGACGATTGCACTGGATCATAGTGAAGGTCAGACAACTGGGGTGTGTGGGTGTGTTGTAGCTGTGGTTAAGTCGGGCAACTGGACCAAATCTTCCCTTTTTTTAGAGGGTGGTCTATGGACTTCGGTGATCACACATTTTTCTCATTTTATAGGTACCCATACTGCTCATTCTTGGTTATTTCACCATTGTCCTAACCATTTGGGACTGCTATAACAAAATGCCATGAACTCGGTGGCTTAAACAAGAGAAATTTATTTCTCACAGTTCCAGAGAATGGAAGTCAGAGATCAGGATGACAGCATAGGATCTGGCAAGGGCCCTCCTCTGGATTGCAGATGGCTGTCTTCTTGCTGTGTCGGCACATGGGGGAAAGAGAGCTAGCTAGAGAGCTCTTCGGTCTTTTCTTATCAGGGCATTAATCTCGTTCCTGAGGGCTCTACCGTCATGACCTAGTTACAGCCCAAAGGCACCACCTCCAACTATTACCACATAGGGATTAGGTTGCATCATATGAATTTTAAGGGGATAGAAACACTCAGTCATAACAACATGGATGACCTATCCAGTGCCCTTGCCTTAGTTCCTGGATGGCACTTCTGATACTTGTGCCTTGTATTCTACGGTAGCTACCCATTTCAGTGCTCACAACCAAGACTGTATCATTACCACTGACTATACTACTCCTGTGTCCTAACTTGAAGCATTACGCTTACTTCCTCTTTTGCTTCCACACCAACAATTCTTCAAACCCACCGGGACCTCCAGCCATTGGCCCTACCACCTTTTCAGCACTAAAGTTTCTCTAATCCATTCTCATTTATTCACATGCTCATTCACTCTCTTTCTTCTTCTCTCTCATCTCTATTTTATACCGAGAATTCTCTTCTTCTTTCCAGCCTCCAACATTTTTCTCTTCTCCTCATTCAAAGCTGATGACCAAGCTTCATATTTCTTAGAAAAAATAAGAATCGTCTGAAGCAAATGTCCATATTCTTTCACAAAATCTACCAACCTAAGTGCATCTCAGTGCCTATACTCTTCCTTCCCTCTGCTATGAAATGTCTTTGCTAAAATCATCATCTTTTGTCCTGGATCTCATCCCTTTTTATCCAATTAAGGACCTCACTGCTGTAGTTGTCCTCTGTGGCATCCTACAACTAGACCATGCTCAACAGCACGAAAACATGCTTTAATAGAGCCCATCTTTAAAAACTACACAAAGCAACTCCTTTCACTCCATATTCCTCCCTGTATGATTGTTCTGTTTCTCCATTCATTTTATAGAAAATCTCTTCAAAAATATAGTCTAAATTTCCTGTATCTGCTTCAGGTCTTCCTGTTCTCTCTAGAACTGTCTCTAGAATCCATGCCAGTCAGTCTTTTGTCATCACCACCCAACAGAAAACAATCTCATAAAATTCACCAAGTATTTCCTCATTGCCAAATACAGTGAGTAATTTTTCAGTCTTCACCTCATGTGCCCCTTCGTAACATTTGACCAAAAAAATTAATCTCTTCTTAAAATGTTTTCTTCACTCACTTTCCATGATACCCTCCCTTCATGTTTTTTTCCCCTCTATTTTACTGGCTATTCTTTCTCAGTTTCTTTCTGTGGCTTCTTTTCCTCGATTTAAATGATGGTGTGTCTTACTGTTCGGTGAAGGCTTGTCCTATCTCCCATCTCTCTCCTTCTTTTATAAATCCCAGAGACCTTTCCTCCCTGCTCTTCACTGGGTACCCTGTGCATTCTCAGGCTTTGGGGCTCTGCTACTTTTTGTTAACTCCACTCTAGAGTGTTCTTCTCTCAGAGCGTCAATACCTTTTTCTCTCACTTACTTCAGGCCTCTGCTCAAAATCATCTCCTAATAGGACTCTTTCCTGACCAATCTATCTAAAATACTAGCCCTATTTGCTCTATACTTTTACCCTGGTTTATTTTTCTCCGAAAATTTATCATAAATACATATCTGCAGAAATAAAAGTTCAGCGAGGACTTTATCTTGTACACTGCTATGTGTCTAACATCTAAACAGCACCTACTACGTAGCTGATGATATAGATCTGTTGAGTGAATAAATTAATAGATGAATGTCAGTCCTTTCTCTGCTAAAAATTTTTCAGTGGCTCCTCATTGCCTTGGATATAATAAAATTCCTTAGCCTGGCTTGAGAGACCCTCCATAAAGAGGGTACTCACCTCAGAGCGTTGTTAATACAACTTAATACTTGCAAAACACCTAGAACAGTGCCTGACACATAATCAGTATTTAGAATATATTAGCTATTATTATTCTTAAGCTCTAATTCTTCTCACCACTTACAGTGTATGCTTCAGTACCTCAGTCGATGCGTCCTTGTCATCAGGCCGCCTTAAAATGTCACACCCTCTGCATTTCCTTTCCTAATTCTTTAGCCCTGAGTTGGGTGCCCCTGCGTTCATTGGCTGGCACTGTGGCCCGGTCACTCAGCGTTTTAATAGACTCTTACTTGCCTGAGATTCGCTCCGCTAGATGATCTGCATCTTGAAAGTCAGCTGTGTTGCCATGGATCTATCACAGGATGTGGCACATTAATAGTTACTTAATAAATATCCATTTAATGTAAGTGAGCTTTGATTAAATACTCAATTCAAATTGTTCTCCCCCGTAGGGTTCTCAGTCCTTCAGGAGGAGCTATGCACTGCACAGCATAAGCAGAAAGAGGAGCAAGCTGCTTCTAAAGAGAGCGAGTCCTGCGATCACCCTCCCATTGTCTCAGAGGAAGACATTTCTGTTGGTTATTCCACTTTTCAGGATTACATCCCCAAAGCTGAGGGGGACAGCTCAGCAACAGAGCTCTTTCCCCAAACTCACAAGGAGCAAGTTCAACAGGATTTCTCAGGGAAAATGCAAGACCGGCCTGAAGAGTCATCTCTTGAGTGTCAGCAGGAGTACTTGTGAGTTTCAAAAGAAAGCCTGTCAAATGTCATTCCAAGAAACAAGCCAGTAGGACAAGAGTGCCAGGCGTATACCGCTGGAAATTGTTGTCAAATAACCCCACCAATAACAAGGGCCAGAACTACAGACAAAGAGCAAAAGATTTGAGACATAATTGTGACCGCATTGTGTGGGAGATCTGCTTGAACCAACTTCCAGTTCTGTGACCTTGGGCAAGTCCCAAAGCCCTTTTGGTTTCTGTTTCCACATCTCTAAATTATAGTAATTTATACCCCCTATTCATCTCATAGGGTCACAGGTCAAGGATGTGCCCATGAAAGCATTGTTTCAGCTATAAAATTTCACGTGGACCTCACTCTTACTGCTTCTAAGAGTCCTGCCCCTCACTTCTCTGTGATGCTCTGATATGTGCCAGTTGTCCTACAGCTCGTTCAGAGTGTGAACAGTGACAGGTGAAGAGTGTAGGTGATAGGGGAAACAGCCCTCAGTGTATTTCACCAAAGCGATGGGGTGCCTAACAGTACAATTGGAAACACAGCACAGATTATTCACACAGAATGAAAGACCATTAAAGTGAGGTGGGATGCGGTCAGAGTGGGAGTAAAGGGAAGTTTTCCAGAAAGCTTCTGGCTAAAGGAGGCTACTACAGAGCAGGCAGCTCAGAACTCAAGTTCTGGGCTTTATAGAAGCAAAGGAGAAAGAGAGTTGTTTAAATGGCACTTGTTATTTAGAGAAAGAAAGTAGATCGTGCAAAAGGCAAATGCATCCCCAGCCCTGGAATCTGAGAATAGTGTGTCAGGAGATTACATCATAGCATTTCTCTTGTCATTAAGTGAGCTTTGTGCTGGGGTCACTGGAACTTGAGAAGAGGGTGAAATGGGTAATAAAATCATCTCTTTTTCCACTGAGCCACCTACCAACTACCTTTAGGTTTTAGGGGAGAGCAGAAAGAAGAGAGAAAGAAAAAGGAAAAGGTGGGAAGCAAAGAGGGCATATCAATTTGGGCACTTAATATCTATGGAGTGACAGAAATTTGCAATAAGTTAAACAGAAAAAGCAGAGAATTTTCTTCCTTAGAAAATGAGGTTACAAAGATTGCCTTGGAGTAACTCCAAACTGTTATCAGTAGAAAAAGTTTTAACCAGGTCTTTCCATCAAGTAATACAGTTTTCCAGAGGTATAATAAGACTCTCCATATTTACAATTATGATAATGATATTAACATGGGGTTTTTAGATTGGTTTCTAGAAATTTTCCCCAAACTGATTCTTGCTTTGAAAGCCTTATTATCTACAGATCTTTGTTATATAAACCTCCTCAAATCTTCAAGATCACCTTGAGTTATCAAAGAAAAGATGAATTTATAATTTATATACTTTGTAGAGATTAGGAAATAGTAATACATTTTGGGATAATTTTTATCTTTAGAATACATCTTTCCCAGTCAATGCTAGATCATTGATTTGTAACTCTATATGATATCTTACATCTGATTTTTATTCAACTTTCATTTCTTGGCCACATTTACAAAAGTTATTTTGACTTCCATGGACCATGAGATAAATTCCATTTTTCCTTCTAATTCCCTTGCTTCGGCAGGAGGAGAAATGCATATGCTCTCATGGTATAGCTTGGCTTTTCCATTTCAGTGTGACAACCCCAGGGACGGAAGTGTCAGAGACTCAAAAGGCTACGGCTGTATCTGGCTCTCCCAGCAAGACCCCTGAGGAAATTAGGACCCCTCCTGAGGAGGAGAGGCCATACCTCCAGACCCCAACATCTAGTGAGCAGGGAGACTCTCCCATCATACAAGAACCCGAAGAGCCCCCAGAACACGGGGAGGAGAGTTCTCAGAAAACCAGCCTTGTGATAGTGGAGTCTGCTGATGACCAGCCACAGGCCCTTGAAAGACTCGATGAAGATGCAGCTTTCCATAAGGTAAGAATCTCCTCCGTTTCCTTGCCCATAGGCAGCAAAGCTACAAACCTTCCCCAGTTTCCATTTCTCTGATGGCTTATTTTTTCTCTGAAAAAAATAAACCTGGGTCATGTGAACCCCTCAATCCCTTTTAAACCTGGGGACCAGAGAATCTAGAAAAAAAAAAGATACGCAGTCCAATTCTAGCTCTTTGACCACGAGCCCTAATTTTACAATTGGAAAACTTTTTGCTGAGGAAAATGAACACCGGGGTGAAACAAGATCCCTGATGTGGCTTTTCAAAATTGATAACCGTGGGCGTGCAGACTAGTGAGAGGGACTCACAGGGCCTCAGGTAAGTGCCGGCCATGGGACCATGTGGGAGCCAGACTCTGGTTAGATCTGTCCGTGCTGGCAGGTGACGAGCAGGCAGACAGACTGTAGATATCCAGTGGGGTTTACCTCCCCGGACAAATTTTTCTCGTTAAAGGAAAAGTTATTTCCAAAATAGACCTCCTTATGTCTATTTTAAGAATGACTTTGACAGAGGACCAGGTACCTAAACTTACTGCTGATTCAGAATGTCAGAATCCCTGACAGGGGTAGGAGCTGACATCAGTCACACTGTTTCCTTTGTCATTACGTGCGTTTTGATGTTGCGAAGAAGCGTGGAGACCATCTTAGAAATTCATTTAAGCCATTTATTCTCAAAGTGTATTCTAAACTGTTCATATTCCTCAGCATTAACGGCGGGGATTTGAGCCCTCCTCAGAGCTCCTGAATCGAAATGAACCTCAGAGAGGGAAGGGGGACCCAGCATGTGCATTTTAAATAACTCCCTAGATGATTCTAATGCACACGCAAAAAAAGGGCCAGAATCTGTTTGCATTAAACGTAATTTAACATAAATTATATATTTTTCCTTCTAGAATTCAAAAACATTTTCTACATCAAAGTGTTTTTAAAGCATTAATATATGTCTCAGTAGTGAAGAATGAGTTATATAAAAGAACTGAAACTTTTTGGGGAAACGAGTGATACAACTTATCTGTGGGCTTAAGGCCTACATTTATTATTCTTCACTATGAGGATGACATCTGCTAGCAGGATTTGTCTAAAATCATGACTAGAATTAGGAGAGGTTCAGGCAAGTGAGAACTGTGTCCCAATTTTGGCAGTTATCTTAAATAATGAATTCATTCCATGAATGGAATTTTATTTTAGGTTTACCTTTGCACAGAATGATTCATCTCCCAAGTTCTTGGCTTAAATGAATTCTAGTAAAAATGTTTCAAAGATGCTATCTGAACCCAGAAGCCTAAGAATCCACTGGCTAAATGAAGTATAGATTTCAAACAGTTATTTGGATAATTCATTTATTTTTTCAATGCACATAAAAAATTTTTGATAAGTCCTTCTGTACTCCACTTTATACACAGGTCTGTTCCATTTATTCGTGATGAATATCCGATTATTTCTGTGATGCTTCCTATTTTGACCCTTAACTTCTCATGACCCTATCTTGAGGATCCAATTTTGGTCACTTTTCTTGCTGATCATATTTCTAGGCAGCAGATTCCTGAATGTATTTAAAGTATAATTTGGTTTAGATTTTACAGGTTTTAGCAGAAAAGCATATAGAAATACATCAGATATTTAAAAATATGTTGAAAAAAATGTCATTGAGTTTTCTTTAAAAAAAAAAAAAATCATCCTATTAGGAAAGAGTGATGTGATAGAATGCTCCCAAGATATATGTTCTAATCTAAAATTACGTCTTTAGCTCCATATCTGACTCTGGGCCAGACCCATAAAATCAGACTGGCCGGTGCATCTTAACTTCTCTGCAGAATGAGTCTGATGTTATTCATAGGCTGCCTTCTTTGGTGACAGAGAGGTGCTCTTCTGGCTAGATAACAGCTATTCGGAAACTGTTTTAGCAGAAAGTTCTGCTACAGGCATAAGTTATTTCTCTACCTGTGGGTTAATCATTCCAAGCCTAAAGCCTGAGTGTCAATGGCTTATCAATGTTTTTTGTGCTACTTAAGTTCTGTGTTTACATCTGGTCATTTATCAGGACTTTAAGTCCAAGAAGTGATGTGGACAAGCTGCATATTTCTTCTGACAGATTTTGACAGATGGGCACTCAGACAGCTTTCAGAATTCCAGAATTTTTTTTTCAGTCATTGAACAAAAAAACTATATTCTTATCGAAGTGTGAGACAGACACACACCTGTTTGCCCTGCTGGCTTTTCCACCAAAGCCTCCAGGAATGAGACTTTCAGAAACCAAGTGTGAACTAAAGCAGAAACCAGTAGTGAAGACATTCCTTAGCATGTTAAACAAAACAATGCTTCCATGCTTCCACCAGGAGCTGACAGAGGAATTAGGTGAGCTGGAGACCAGCTCAGATGAGGAGGCGATGGTAACTACCAGGGTTGTCCGCCGACGAGTGATTATTCAGGTACCAGCTGTTACCTTACTGCACGTCCGGGACACTTCTGTCCCCATAACCTGTAGAGAGTCATGGACCTGGAGCAGTGAGGGCTTGGCATGCTCTTTAGGTAGTGCATGGCCATTCAAAAGCAGATCCCAACTCTCCTAAGTTTGGTTTGTTAAAAACAATGCAGCGGTGATGACGGTGGCAGCCCGCCTCCAAGAGAACGAACAGCAAGAGCAAGAGCGCTTCCTCCTTCCGCCCACCTCACCTCGCTTGTCCGTTTTTGTTTGTGCGTTTGTTTTACACCTAACTGTGGTCCAGTTCTCCTAAGCATGTTATTACCCACCTTTTCTTTTTCTTTCTTTCTTTCTTTCTTTTAAACATACTACTCGGCAGGACTTGGCATCTCCACAGTGCTTCCCAGTAGCTTCCTTCATTTTCTAACATGGCTCACCTTATAAGCCCTTGGGAGGAGTTTCTCAGAATTGTTGCCAAACACTGAAGTGACCCTTTTTTCTCAACCATTTAGGGAGATGATATGCCTGACATACCCCCGGAAACAGTCACAGAAGAAGAATACATTGATGAGCAGGGACACACTGTGGTCAAGAAGGTACTATCCTAACATGGTTGATTTCGAACCTCCTGCTTAAAACGTATCTGTCCCTCGGTGCTGCCGCTCAAAAACAAGATCCATGAATAAAATATCTTTCAGGTCACTAGGAAAATCATTAGGCGGTACGTATCCTCTGATGGCACAGAGAAAGAGGAGGTTACAATGCAGGGAACGGCCCAGGGACCCATCAGCATTGAGGAAGGAGATGGCTATTCCAAAGTCATGAAGCGCATTGTATTAAAGAGTGACACCGAACAGTCAGAGGTAAGATCATCTGCTTCTCCAACCTGATTTTACGGAGAAGTGTGAAATGGAGTCGGAAGAGGTGGGTGTGACTGTTTACCCACATTGGCCCCACTGCTCCCCCTTATCTGGCACCCTGCTTTCAGTTTACACATTCATTTTTTTCTTCATGATTTTGTGGCATTTTAAAACAACCACCGAGGAGATCTGTAGCCATTTTATACTCGTGATCTCTGTTTGGTCCTTCTTATTTCTGTTTTCTATTATGGTTGCATACGTACAACAGAAATCCAAAAGTCAAATTTTAAAAGGCCAGGATCCCATTGGCTGGCAAACAGTATGTCACAGGAAGCCCCCGCACAGTTGTGTCCTGGGCAGCGTGGCAGCCTCTGTAGGGCCCTGTCGATCAATATTTGATATTTAACCTTGTGCATTTCAGAGTCACTAAAGCCAGGGTCCAGAAACTCCCTGATCTATAGTTTTCTTTCTTTCCATTCTACTCTCTTTGAGGAATGTTTGCTCTCTATGACATATAATTTGTGACATCCTCACTGTTTTGCATTCATTCACATCCTCAAAATGTTGTTATTATGCACAAAGTTTCTCCAGAAATCTACTGCTTTGGTTTGTCATATCTTTGAGAGTTTCTCCTTTGAGGATTAATTTCATCTTCATAATGCCAAAACCATTTAAACGTGGAGGAAGGGTTCATCAATAGGCTGTTATGTCCGCATTGCACTGAGCAATCGGTTCTTATTCACAATACTTCCTGATGGTTTTTTGTTCACGTGACTCATGAGTGGTTGGTTTGGTCCTGTGTACATGGAGTTCATGACAGAGGCATTACCAACTGATTACAGGCTTTTTCTTTCTTTTTGTAACTGCTTCTCTTTTCCAAAATACTGTTTTCTGGAAGACTGGTATAAACCAGTGTAGGGTTTTGGTTTTTTTACGTAGAAAAATTCATCACTGTGACCTTGTGGCAGTCAGAAACCGTGTATCATGTGTCCTTCATCCATTAGGTAACTTTGTCTGAGCCCAGCATTTTGTCCAGTACCTCACAATTTCAGGCTGAACCAGTGGAAGGCCGTAGAGTCAGCAAAGTTGTTAAAACAACTATGGTACATGGAGAGAGGATGGAGAAACATCTGGGTGATTCTAGTTTAGCCACTGATCTTCCTTCAGCCAAAGATGACTTTGAAGAGGTATAGAAGCATTATCACTTTTGTGTTTTCGTGTTGTGTATGTGTATTTTATGTTTGCTTTGTGTTTAAAAAGAAAATGGTTTATCATTATGTCATTCCATATATGTATTCGTGGAAGGGTGCAGAATAATTCAAGAGAGTAGAATTCCTGCGTGAATAACTTGTACAGTGAGGTAATGTTTCCACCAACTTGTGGTATTCATCGTTATCACCTTAAATGCTTTTAAAAATCTAGATGACCTGGATTCACTTCAGCTGAATCAGAATCAGAATCTCTGGAATTAGGCCATGATTGTACGTCTTGCTTGGAAGACCCAGAAGTGACTTCCCAATTAATAAGAGAAAGAAATAAATAGGTTGCAAATTGTCTTTACTAGCTAATATTCTCAAATATTTCCAAAGATTGGCATTAAAGAAAATTCAGTTTTATTTTAAACCTAGAAATAAAATAAGCATTTATAATTATTTAAGTTCTGATTTTCAGTAATTAGAAAATGGGTCCACGGTGACAGATCCACAGACCCTTACTAGGATTCAAAAATTCAAAAATTCAGAAAACCAAGACTTGTAGATTAGTAGCAAGTTAATTTGGGAGTAAAATTTAATATGAACTGACATGGAGCTATTAGGACATGGAGGGGTTTTTAGTCCTACCTAGAGTGAATATTCACATGCTTTGCTTTTGATATATTTATGAGATTGATTACAGGATGCTGCCCCAACCCCTTCTGGGATATTAGAACACACAGTGTATATATCATATTACCTGTCTAAAATCCAAAAAGAAAAAATTCTGGATTCTGAAACACATCTGGCCCCAAGGGTTTTGACTAAGGGATTGTGGGCATATGCAAATATCTACAAAACATTTTTTGCTATTGAGACATTTTGAAGTTAAATTGTACATGTGTGTCCTCTTCTGTACCCACAGTATGCATTGAGATTATATATGAATGCATTGAGATATGAAAAGCATACCTTATTTAAATACTTTTAAGGAAAGTATCTTGCCCTTGGATAATCAGAAGATGAATTGTGTGAGTTGTACACTTTGGGCCTTATTCACTTGTTGCTTATTTTGCCTCTGATCGTTACATTTATCGGTAGAGTCTCCACTGGGGAAAGGAGGGTGAGATGAGGAGAAGATTAAAAGTCACTCAGTACAGATGTTATTTACCAGCATTTATAAAGCATTGTAGTCCATGTCCCTCACAAATAGGAGAAATTTAATAAAACTCAATTCTTATACTTGATCCCGAAATTGTATTTATTTATCCTTTCAAGTATAGCTTTTTATACTTACTATTGATTAAGCACAGGAATAGATTATTTTTAAGTCTATGGTTTATGATGGGTTTTGTCCTGTTTTCTTTTTTCTTCAGGCTTTGAGTTATACAGGTAGCCACATGAAAGTGCACTTCCCCAGTTTAGTAGAGAATGAAATCCTGAAAGAGGATGGATCAATAATTAAAAGGTTTGGGTTAGCATGGGGTTGTGCTTTGCCAACTAACACCTGAATTTTTTTTCCAATTTTAAGAAAAGAAAAATAGCCCCTACATATACCCTAACATCCCCTGGGAACTTCCAACTCTCTCTGTATTGTACACTTTTGTCAAGTGGTAGATCTGTCAGTGTGTCATACCTATAATGTCCTCTTTATGCTTTGAAAGTAATAGCAAGGCTTGAGGAGAATGAGACACCTGTTTACACAATCACTCCTTGGGTTTTAACAAGTCATCCATTTTGCTGAGGCCAGCTGAGGTGGGCTCTTCCACTGTGTTGATAGATTTGGAGCACATATGAAGAGGAATCTAATCAGCTGTTCACAAATTAATCTTGTGACCAGCTACCTTCAGCTCAATCTTAGCAAATCATAACTGTGTGGTACATGCTTTTGGGGGTTTTTTGTTGTTGTTTTTTTTTTACCTCCTTCTAAAAGCTTTAAGCTGTTTCAGGATCCCGCATGTGAATGGCAAATAACATGAGCATGAGTTTGATATCCACAAACCTGAATGTACCTAGCAATGCTGAAACCAGGGACTCTACTAAGTTAAAGTGTCATAAAAGCAGTAAGCAGCTCACTTTTATACCTATGAAAGGGGACCAGCTGTGAAATTCTCTGGTTAGCCTGTCCCTATTACCTATTTGATGTATGAACTTGAGAACCCTTGCCTCTTGCCTAATCTCCTGGCCCTTCTCTTTGGTCCTCTAGCAGCACCATGCTAATCAAGTGCCCTCCACTTCTCAGGGAAAAGACACAATGGAAATTCAAGTTACTATTGTGCTTTTCACTTCATTGTGAAGAAGAAAAAGATTGTCATTTATAGTACTCTACAAAGCTATTTTTAGCCTGTAGAACATAATAATTAGGAACAGTGAATTAAAGGTTCTGTCACAAATCCGCCCTCCAATCACATGGAAACAACAGCAGCAGCTAAGAATTTAAGGGTGTAATTGCTCAGAGAACTTTAAAAAATGCTACGTAAATTAAGGATAAAGTGCCTTTTATACTCTGAACTTTTAAGTCTTTTATTCAGTTACTCAGACAAAACCACATAAACCATGTACACACCCTAGCATCATGAGATCTTTAAATTGGAATACATTTAGAGACCAGTTAATCCAAAGTTCTCAGTTATAGCTGGTGAATTTGAAGCCAGGGATATAGACAACTCAATTAAATTCTATAGCTATTTAGTTCTGGAATGTATTTGTCATGTATAACACTTTTATCTTGTACGAAGACATTTTATCATACCCACTGCCCCCCTGATCTACATATGAGTAGATTCATTCCACTGCTTGAGTTATATGCATATGCATACTCATAAACACATTCATCTACACATATCTGCACAAAATATCAGGGTTTGCCCTGTGATAGAAGCTTATTGCCCGCCCCCCCCCCCACACCAATTAATGAAGGCTTCTCTTAGCTCTTGGCAGAAATAATCAGATATTTGCCTTTTGGGAGAAGAAAAATATGGGTGCTGAATAGTTAGAAAAATATGATCTGGTTTCAATCATTGGAACCAAATTTGACGTTCTTATTAAGAGGAACAAATTTAGTGTGCCTCGGTGGCTCAGTCAGTTAAGCCTCTGACTCAGGTCATGATCTCAGGGTCCTGGGATTGAGCCCTGCATTGGGCTCCATGCTCAGCAGGGAATCTGCTTGAGGATTCTTTCTCCCTTTCTCTTCCCCCAACTCTCTCTCTCAAATAAATAAATAAATAAATAAATTTTTTTTTTTAAAAAAAGGAACAAATTTAAGTTTGCTTTCAGATACAAAATAATTCATGTGGTATCAAAGGAAGGAAGAGAACAAGAGAACATGAGACAAGAAGGAAGGAGCCCAAAAGAAAGCTGAAAGTATTTTGGCTAATAGAAGTCTTTAAAAAAAAAATCAGGATGATCTTCAATGCATGGCAGTGTTAGAAGGTAGAATAATGATAAGGACAGAACCTCCAGCTTCTTAACACTAGGAATCCATAAGAAAATTGCTGGGTAAAGTCACAAAAACTGCTCATTTCTTCCGTGGTTTTCAGTGAAGATGCATGGCATCATGGTTACAGATTCAGGCTCTGGAATCTTGGAGTCTTGGCCCCACTTCATACTAACTGTGTTATTTTGTATTTGGAGCATTGCTTAAAATCTCTGAGATTCATTTTCCTTATTCATTATAATAATAGTGCCTGGCACATAAAAATGTTCACCACATATTTACAGAATGAGTAATTATATTTAGAAGTAGTGAGAAGAAGAGAGGGTGTACAAATTACAGCATAATCATTTTCAAGTAGGGAGACGGGAAAATGGTAGTACAAAATATCACAGAACATCAGAACCCCTTTTGTCGACTAATCACTATTCAGGAGGGAGCCAAGAAAGCAGCAGACTATTCAATGGCATAGAAGACCAAAAATGGGCGAAGTTCATGGAGATCTGAGCAGATGGAGGAAGAATTTGTCTCTCGGTATTCTTTCTCTTTCCTCTCTCTTCCCCACCATCTCTAGATGAAGTTTTGACACCTGGGCAGACCCTCATCTTTCACTGGTAGTCACCTTCCTCTAGGCTGATAGAATGAGATTCCAGTTTTTAAAGATCTGTGTCTCATGGAAAAGTTTTCCTAGAACAGGATGCAACTCTAAGGATTAAGCTGGCAGCTAAGGTGTTTAAAAAAATCAAAAACTATTTTTCTCAGCCTGTCAAAAGGTACATATGGAATCCCTGTTTCAGGATGAGCCGAGCTCTTTCTCTCTTTCTTTCTTTCTCTTTCTTTCTTTCTTTCTTTCTTTCTTTCTTTCTTTCTTTCTTTCTTTCTTTCTTTCTTTCTTTCTTTCTCTCTCTCTCTTTCTTTCTTTCTTTCGTCTTTCTTTTTAAGATTTATTTATTTTAGAAAGAGAGAGAGAGAACGAGCAGAAGGGGCAGAAGGAGGGAGAGAGATTCTCAAACAGATCCCTGCTGAGTGTGGAGCCCAATGCGGGGCTTGATCCCACGACTCCAAGATCACAACCTGAGCCAAAATGAAGAGTTGGATGCCCAACCAACTGCGCCACGCAGGAGTCCCGAGCCAAGCTCTTTCAAATCAGTGCACCTTAAACAAAACATGAATGATTATATGGTTTCTTTTGGAGAGAATCGTATTAAAGCATGGTTTTATTTATCTGAAATAGTTCTTAAAGTTTTTAAAAGATATTCTTTGTTCTGAAACACTTTAAAACATTTCATGACTCATGTCAGATAGGAGCGGCCACGTTTAAAAGAAAGATGTGGAAAGATGGCTAGTGTAGAAGTATCCAGAGGTATGACAGTAAAGTACTTTCATGTCATGGTTATTTACCCCCATTCTGAAGATGGTGGCTGTGTTTTAGTGAAGAAAGTATAAATTTCTCTTGTCTGCTTTCCTCCAGGACAACAATGAGTAAAGCCAGTACACAGAAGAGGGCTGTGGTGAAGGATCAGCATGGAAAACGCATTTACTTGGAGCACCTGGAGGATGTACCAGAAGCACTAGACCAAGATGACCTCCAGCGCGACCTCCAGCAACTCCTTCGGCATTTCTGCAAGGAGGACTCAAAGCAAGAGGCCAAATGAGGGGCTGCCCAGTCCTCACACCAGAAACCACACATTCACTCAATATGCAACTTCCCGTTTCATTAGCAGAGTGACCTACCCGGCCTAATGGGATACCCTGACACTTCCACTTTTAGCAAATACACACTGCATTCTGTTTCAGTTTTTCCCCCCGTCCTCTTTAACTGTAAGCTAATTTGTGACCAAAGATAGCATCCTTCAGTCTGGATGCTGTATCCACTACTTTGTTGTGTCTGTGCTAAATTGAGAACTGGCCACCTCCATCGTTCTTTGCTCCTGAACAAACTCCATGAAAATCCATCGATCAGAAGAACTTCACCTACAGACCTCTTCAAGTGATGATACCTAGGAGTCCTCCCGAGGGATATCCTTGTACCATGTATATAGCTCAAATGCTCAGATGAACAACATATTAAAATTAAAACCACTGCCTATCATAACTACACTGGGCATCATGGAATAAAAGGCCTCTAGAAATTGCTGAACAATGGTTAATTAAGATATTGCTAACACAATCGAATGATAATACAGTTCTACCGCAAAAGAAGCACTTCAGACCTACCGTGTCCTTAGAACTTCCAGAGTAGCCATTGCTCCTAGTTAAAGATGGGTTAATAACCTCAAGGAACTATCCTAACTAAGCACTTAATGCTGGTGCTGGCCAGCCTTGATTTATGATTCTCCAACAGCCACACGAGGGAGGGGAGAAGGGGGGAGCAGTAGGCAAAAGGAACAAAACAATGAGGTATTCAGCTGCTAGCAGCCACATCCTGTGGCATTCTAGCATCTTCAGGTCTTTTAGATTTTGGACACATTGGCAGGGTATTTTAAAAGCTATAACTACTGTAGTTTTCCAGTTTTCATTGCTGCTTTAGCAAACCACGCTGTCTTATTGGTGGTACTTTCTTCTGGCCACTGCACTGTAGATAATTCATTGGAAACAAGATTTACCCACTACGCAAAAGGTTAAACTCCTTCACCATGTTGGAGTGGTTCTCCCCCGCCCCGGGTTTATATCTTCTCTAATACCTGCATGTAGCATTTAAAAATCAAAACCACAGTCAAAACTCCTCTTCTAATCACACTGATGGTTTTCATTCTTTTGACCCTGAGCAAGCACTTTTCACTTTCTGCTAGGTCTGTTTTTTAGCTTGCAGACAAGGTTGAGAAATCCTTACAAATTTGGTTTTGGTTAAAATTTTTGATTTATTTATTTGAAATCCAAACTCCCTTGGAAACTCTTAAGTGCATTTGTGCACTTTTTTGTTTGTTTCAGAGAAGGAACTTTAATCATCTGAGTGATTTCCATGTCCTATTCCTTATTCCTCTAGTGGTTGAAGCTGTGTAGCATTTTAACATATATATATATTCACAAATATATTCATATAAACAATATACATTTCGAATCAGTTATTTGTTAAAGAAAAGTATATTCAATGAAGATGAAATTTAAAAAAAAAAAAAGTCTATCCTCCAGGGATTGAACATTTTCCAATTCTATCTGGTCTTTTCCTGTTGTGCAAAAATGACTCATTGCTCCGAATGTCAAAAACAAATGTGACAAACAATGGCACTTCATCATTTCAAGCAATGTTGCCAAGGGAGAAAATTTCCTGGGAGGGAGGTTTCCCACAAGCCAAATCTCTTAAAGCCTCAAATGCTAGCACTTTCTGGCAGTTGGATAGGAAATAAAGCTTTCTTTGGCAGCCAAAATGAGAGAGGCTCATGGTGAAACTTTTTGAGACACACCATGGCCTTCTTGTCAAAACCTTCACTGGAGCTCAAGAAAAGCATTTCTGTTGTGTTATTTGCAGTGCAGATGATGTCTGTGTAACAACATAATGGTTATTCACCTTTTTTTGATTTTTGATTTTTGCTGTGTAATCAAAAAACTTGAATACTGTGAGAAGAAGTGAATTTTCAGTTGATGAATCAGCATCTTGTTCCCATGGTGATAACACTAATTGAATATATCTATGAGGGCATGTATTAGTTAATGGAAAAAAAAAATACAACACTAACAATACATAGCTGCAATGTGTACAATGGCTGATTTAATTAAATAAAATGTACAAGTGTTAAATGTGGCAACAGTGATTTATTCTTCTTTATCACTTAATCTGTGATTTCAGGAGATAAGATTATTGAAGAGATGACATGGGATTTGAAGCCAAAAAGGACACAAATTGCTCTTTTCCTTGTAGTTTTTACTTAGTGACAAATATGCTATTATGCCCCAGCACTGTTTTAAGCACTGAGATGAAGAGTTTGTCCTTGCCCTCAAAAAACTTTTGTTTTTGTTATGCAAAAGGAGAAAGACAAAGATTTATATTTAGTTTTGGGATCGTTAGCAAATAAAAAAATAGCAACTTCGGGGCTGGGAGGAAATGAGGAGAGGGTAACCAGGGATTGGTAAGGCAGCGAGGCCCACCGGGCAGGATTCTCCCGTTTCAGTTCTCATTTATAAGGCAGTGGTGCTCCGGAAACACCTTCCTTTGGGAACAGCATTTCGCCGGGGGTGGGTGGGGGTGTTATTTATCTCATAGCCTGAGAATTAAACATTAAATGGATACATCAATATAAATAACAAAAGGGCAGAAATACACAAAACTGAAATCAGTTGTATTTGGAGAGTTTTTGGTTTTTGTTTTTTGAAAAATCCCTTTAGTGCTGCTATAATATTTTTTACTGTAAAAACAGTACAAAAAGACATGATTAGGAAATCGAGTAGGTTTTACATATTTAAAATGTAAGGTGGGGCAAACCCTCCAGACTGAGGGAAGATCATGCACATCTCACAGATGACTTGAATTAGGTATAAAGAGGTGAAAATTACATCTAAGCACACTGAAACCGGCTTGAATTGAATTTGAACTTCGGTTGCTAGTGGTATGATTTAATTTATGTCAGCATGGAGGGTCTGGGTGTGGGCAAGGAGACCAGCCCATGAATAAAACAGATAAAGAGAATCTAACCAAATATTTAATGAGAACCAAAATCACTACAAGGTTTTCTTGAATAATGGAAAAAAGATGGTCAGCTTGCTTTCATTATACTATGAGAAAATAATTGTTTAAATGTCTTTGTCTTCAGCTGCCACTCTCTGCTTAAAAATTATACTCTTTTCCTTCAGTTAAGGTCTGATTTCTGTTTCTGATTTAATTAAAGCTAGAATTACAATCTTAGAGTGAACTACCCACGTAAATATGTAATACAACCTTTGTTTCACTATAGTAATAGAACATTTGAGAAAATCTTTGAAATATCTCAAGAAAAACCTTTATTCCTAACTCCTACACACAAATTATTCTTTTTTGGTTAGACTCAGACTCCCTGGGAAAAACAAAAGTACTCCTTTATTTTAAATAAGCTCCACAGAGTGGAATGGATGATACATGTGAATATCCTGTGGGTAGAGTTGCTCTATTTGGCGGGCAGGGGCATTTGAGAGTGGTATTTGTAATACTCCAGCGGATCCCTTCATCACGGGGAATGTTCAGTTGGTAGGCCCCTGAGGTGTTTCGGTGAGGCAATGTGACAAAATGGCGAAATAGGGGATCTCAGAGCAAGATTGGATTGGAGTCAATCCAGCTACGGCAGTACTTAGGCGACTTTGTGCGAGTACCCTCTGGAATCCTCAGTAAAATAAAAGAACAACACCTTAGAACCCTCTCGCCATACCAGATGCAGGGAAGGGCAGCAAGCCCTGTGTCATCCCTTTAATCTGGAAGTGCCATAGGGGCCTATGTGTCCTCAGAGCCCATGAGATATGGACCTATATTTGTGACCTTCCCCCTCTTTGGGAAGGGTGAGCCTCAGCGGGGCAGAGTTGAAGGCTGTCACCCCTCTAGATTAGAAAGTAGAGTTAGCCACTTCCTCTTAGGCACTCCCAGGACAGTTTTTGTCAGTCAAGCCCCCTTAGTTGACTTCCTACTCTGAGGAAGTGTTCTTCAGGATCTCTTTTTCTCAGCAGGCCTTCATAACTCAGTTCTGGTTTCCAGTCCTTCTTCCAATGCCCTCCACATACTCTATTTTGGGTTTTCATTTTTTCTTTACCCTCAAAGCTGAATTAGATAAAGCTACCCAACTCCCCTACTGAATGTTCTCTACTGGTAACTGGTCCAGCGTAGCTGCTGCAAAGATCTGTACTGCCGGGGCCCTGGGCTGGCCTGGAGGTGGGGAGGAACGCAATGGCGGTCTTTTTGGGTGTACAGAGACAACGGACCATGTTGCAAGACATCCACACCGGGCCAGCTTTTCCTGGGTGTCGATCAGAACTCAGTTCTGATCCAGGCCAAGAGATAGGATTTTCATGGCATTAGTATAACAGCATCTTCTAGATGAGCTGGACCTTCTGTGAATTTTTCAAGTGACTCACAAATATGATTCTACCTTCAACACCTCTCCAACCACGCTGTCTCACCCCAAAGAATCAGAGGGACAACTTAGACTCATTGTTTGAACAATCCAGTTACTGTTCAGACAGGTGTATTAGTTTCCTAGGGCTGCCATGGCAAAACACCCCAGAATAGTATTTATTTTCTCGCAGTGCTGGAGGCTAGAAACCTGAGCTCAAGGTCTCAGCAGATTGGTTTCTACTGAGGTCTTTCTCTTTGGCCTGCAGATGGCCACCTTCTCGCGATGTCCTCAAGTGGTCTTTCTTCGTTGCAAGTGCATCCCTGGTGTCTCCTTTTGTATCCAAACGTCCTCCTCTTATCAGAACACCAGTCAGACTGGACTAGGCCCACCCAAATGGCCTCCTTTTAACTTAATCACCTCTCTAAAGGTCTATTTCCAAATGCAGTCACAATCTGAGGTCTGAGACGTGATTGTTTCAACCTAGGAATTTGGGGAGGACACAATTCAGCCCTTAACAATTGGGTTTAGTCCAAAAAGCAAAGCCCATGAGATATTCTAAGCAGTTAAGGATTTAATGAAGGGAATTAGAAACTTATACAAATGTTGGAAGAGAAAAAAAATGAAGGCAGGGAAGGTGCTGCTGCCTTGAAGAAACCCACAGTGCAGAAGTCAGAGCTCCAAACTGCCATTGATGGGTTTGGCTTCATGTAGCAATGAAGTCTATGCTTTTAGGAGAATGCCCAGACATAGCTGCCCAAAACCCTTCACCTGTCTTCTGCCAAAGTCCTACACACTGCCCAGCTGCCTCTGAACAAATAATTGTTTTCCTTTTCTTTCCCTTTCAAACCTTGGGCAAACACTTATTATTGGCAGAATCTAACACATAACCCCGCTGGAAAGGGATTCCAAGGAATATAGTTCTGAGGATCTTTCCTCAACCTGCAGAGAATAATGTAGAATAGGGTGGGAAGAATGCTGAGTTGGTAACCATTAACCATAGAGGTTAAGCCACAGAAGAATAGTCTTCATCCATCCACCAACTCATGCATTCATGATCTACTGTATTCCAGGCATTATGCTAAGTGCTCAGGTAGATTGAGGCCAAGATGACCATGATTTTTATTATTGCCAGTCACCACTGAAAGTGCCCTTGAGACATCTTTAGTTTCTACCACAAACCTATGAAGTAAATACAGATGAGGAATCCAAGGAGCAGAAAGTTTGAGTATCTTACCCAAGATCATGCAGCTAGAAAACAGCAAATCTGGGGTAAGAACCCAAGCAAATGGCTCCAACAGTAAACCATTCTCCATCTTTGAAAGACAATCCTTAACTCTTGGGTTTATAATCTTGCAGGGGAGATATATGGAGCCAATAAGTTCACAAATAATTGATTAATTAAACATTAATTTGCTTTGAGAGAAATACCTTTTATACAAAGTAACAAGCCCTGTTCAGTACCATTCTCATTTCTATTCTTCTGCAAAATATCTTCCTTTTTCCTCAAACCTACTTTCCCTTCCTCACCTACCTCGTGCTCAGCAGATGACCCTGACTCTGTTTTATAAGAAAGAAAGTGTGAATGGGCATGAATTACTTCAATGCTGTATGGGTCAGGGGTTCTCTAGAGAAACAGAAATAATAGGATGTATGTGTATATAAAGAGACATTTATTAAAAGGAATTGGCTCATGTGATTATAGAGATTGAGAAGTCCCACGATCTGCAGTCAGCAATCTGAGACCCAGGAGAGCCAATGGTGCAGTTCCAGTCCCAAAACTGACAGACCAAGACCTAAGAGCCGATGTTTCACATCAAGACGGAAGGCAGGAAAGGACTGATGTCCCAGGTCAAGGCAGTCAGGCAAGAAGAGTTCCTTCTCACTCAAGGGAGGGTCAGGCTTTTTGTACTATTCAGGGCTTCAGTTGATTAGATGAGGCCCACCAACACTGGGGAGGGCAGTTTACTTTACTCAGCCTACCAATTCAAATATTAATCTCATCCAAAAACACTCTCAGAGACATATTCAGAATAACGTTTGACCAAATGTCTGCCACCCATGGCCCAGACAAGTTGATGCATAAAATTAATCATCACAAGTGTCCTTCCAATTCCTACCTCCAAAATTATATATATCTACCTCCACTCTAGCACATGTTAAAAAAATCTAACAACTTTAACAGATCTTATTGGTTTTAGTCAGAGATTCATGAATTGGGCAGCATCCTATCTAGCAGATAGAAAGGAACTCCAAGGAGCTGTACATCTGCCCCAAATTAAACACTTTTATAGGCAGAAGGGAGCAGGAACAAGGAAGTTATACTAGGCAAAAAGTGGGTTAGTTATTGCAAAGTTACTTTCTTTTAGGGGATGGCTGGGGTCTATCAGGCAGACTACCTCACTAGCATTGATCAGGAGATTCCTTACTGATGTTTAAGATTCCATTTCTGGGAGACCTGAAACTGTAATTGAGTCTTGATTTGGTGATGTGGGACTTAGCATCAGTGACTCCATTTTGCACCTGTGGTCTTATTTTTAACACATTCCTGGTTCTCACCAATGTTCTCCATGTTTCTCTCTCCCAGCTGAGGTGTACATTCAGATTTCTCCTGGTTGCAGAGAAAAAAAATTATCCTTCAATCCTAGTTTTGCATCTAATGCTTTCTCTGTCTCTCTCTTTCTCTCACTCTTTCTCTCTTTCTTTTTCTTTTTTTCTCTTACATATGCTTC